TACACCGTACCTACGCATGATGCCGAATTCACGAAAAGGCCTTTTTGCCCAAGTTTCATCAATTAACCGTGTATGCACGAAAAAAGGTTTGCACGCGACAGTTTTGCTCCTCAATATTTCTGGTGAGAAAATGTCACATTTGCCACGGACAAATTCGAAGTATATGTATATTCTGAAAATTGAGCGAATTGGCTGTTTAATTTAATAATATTAAATCTTTTGAAATTTGAAATTTTTTAAACGATATTTGTCAATTACGGCAAGAAATTTTTTATTTCCTATGGTGCAAGCTTAATTTTCACGAATCCAGTTAAATGCATAGATGTCAAGCCGTTCTTTTCTTTTTGTATCGGGCGCGTATATAGTGCGTCTGCAGAGGTACATCTTTTAGTGAGCAAAAGTTTCGTTAATATTTTGGAGAAATTCAACTCTAGCGTCAATAAAACGACATTTGCGACTGAACTAGAACCCGGAGTCGCTCCAGTTCAACGCGTTTTTTGTTGCTTTCTCGACATGAAACTGGATGAAAATCGTCATCGATTAATGCAAGCTCATCGATGATCGATTTCGTGGGCCCGAGATTCATTTCCGGCCTGCGCACAGGACGACTCCTCGATTGCTGCGCGTCTGAATTGAACTTGGAAAACAAACCTGCAAAATAATTTATTTCCTATGTACAACAGACTACCTGCTCGATGTTCCAGTCATACTGTCCTCGAGATCATACTACAAGCTCTCAACTCAGGAATATTATTCGACTAGAGTCACTGCTGATTTCACAATCTTATTTAGTTGTTAAATCTCAATATTCATTGTTCAAGGTGTCCGATTGGCACATCGTCCCAGTTTTGCGTTCATCGACAGCTTGACATGACCTCGTGTATATGATGCCTCGACAATACCATGCAGCAGCACTGGTCCTTTCTTTCAGTTGATGCTAAAGAGTCTGCTCGTTACCTGAAGCCTCTGTATTAAATTAGAGATGTGAATAAGAAACTTGGCTAACACCGTTGTAGACTGCGCTGGCTCGAGGTCTGAACTGTCTTCTACTGCTTAACATACGGCACATATTGCGTCATACTTACTAATAACATGTTCTCTGAAATCATTGTTGCAACTACATTGTAAGAGCAGCAAGAAATAATTCTGATTTGTCAATTTGATATGTAAATTAAAATTGTTGAACAACTAAATCATAATTTCTATTGTACTTGGTCACAAGCGCTTAAGTAGCGTACATCTTTTCACGCTGATATCCAGGATCGCGGCAGCGTGTGTCACTCTGGACATCCAGGACCGCGTACCATATCGTGTCACGCTGGAGCCATACTTTCAAAACTCGCTAAGTGAACGTAAGTATTTACGCTCTATTTTCTTGTCTATTATTGGTGGATTTTGCTTGAAAGGCCGTCAATGATTGGCTGATGAACTTACGATCTCTTAACTTTTTTTGAAAGTATAGGCCCTGGGTAAGTAGTTACGCTCTATTTCCTTGTCTGTGATTGGTGGATTTTGCTTGAAAGGCCGTCAATGATTGGCTGATGAACTTACGATCTCTTAACTTTTTTTGAAAGTATAGGCCCAGGGAAAGTATAGGCCCTGGACAAGAGTGCCACTGCACCTCTCCAAGCGTTCATTATCACCTCGCACAAATTATCGCTGCTGGCCGGATGCTCAGTGACCACATGGCACGCACTAGAACGAGATAAGCTCGAATCTCGTGGAATTTACCGGCGTCTGCAATTCATCCATACGGCAGACGGGTAACGTGATGCAATTGCGTCCTACGGCCCCATTATCGGGAACCCGCGACTGCAAAATCCACGTTGCGTTGCGTAAGGAAAAGGTCAGATTTTGTTTGGATAACAAGGTACTATTGTGAAGCGGGCATTGGCTTCTTATTAAATTGTAATTCATGTACTAATAGTTGGCATTCAGCCTGTAATAAAATGATTCCTTAAATATATGGATAGTAGTAGAAGTCACTTTCATTTTTACACGATAATAAATAAAGCAGTCTGTGCTGCTTTGCCGTGCATTTTGTAGAAAATTTTCGTAACCCTTCAAATTTAAACTGAATAGAGTTATGTGAGACTTCGTAGTTTTTTTATCTTTTTTCTATATGTATTTTAGTATTCGTCGATGATTTACAATAGTTTCGGGCAAAGAGCAGCGTAAGCTCCAGATAGCAGTTTCCTGCCGTAGCTAATAAACGATACTGGCGTTGACACTGCATATTGTGAGTACAGACTTTTGTTCTTCTGACCAAGCGTTAATTTGAGGATATCCTTTGCAATATAACCTATCATTAAGCATGTGGTAGCTCTCTTTGTTGACGTGTTAAGAGAAAGTAACAATTTTTTCAGTTAACATTTTCCTAGTTTTCTTTGTCTCCAGGTGTTATAATATAGATAATACTGTGCTTGAAATTATTCGCCTGGACTCAAAGATTCACTAATACACTGTTCGAAAAAATCGTGGAAAAACATTCCTACCTGCGTTCTAGTGACCGGCTGCACCGTAAAAAACTGTTTTGCCGTTTTTTCAAATGTTGTACGGGTTTTGAGTGTTAAATTGGAATAAAAACGGCGACACTGTTTTTCTTTTCACGTGCTGGCCGGTCACTAAAACGCCATTTGACATTTTCAACTGAAGTTGACTTGTGCGATGCTACTGAAACTTCTGCTTGTACCAACAAACACGAGATCGTCTTTCCACATTCAAAGGAGCAGAGTGCATAGAAAACACATCAACGATATAATTAGGTGTTGAGGCGCCATATATCCATAATATTTATTTTAAAATTGGACGTGTTAAAATGTAGAGCAAAAATTTCGTTTGACTAAGTTATCGATAAACCAAAACGGTTAAATTCTATTAAAAATGATTTAAGCCCAAAAACATTCATCTATTGCAATCCTGATTAATTTGCTGCAGTGTAATGCTTGCTCAATTGCGAAAACTGTCGTCGATTGATGTCGACAATGAATATTGGATTGTCCGGACAGGGCAAGCGTCGATAAGGCTTGCTGACATTTGCTGTAAAAAAAAAAGCCATTCAATAGATGATCATTTGGTCTATTAATGACTTGCCTGAAAATCTCTGACGCAGTGCTGTATAAAACTGGGCCAGAGGCTCAATAAAAAATGTTTAAGCTAACCGAGAATTTACAAGCAAAGAATATACCCAAAAATTCACCATTTATCTTTAAGAAACAAGAGTCATAATACCGACAATACAAACATAATTAAGCTGATGTGCACTGCGCACAACTATATTGCTAAACTAGGCACGATCGCAAAAGAACAAGGAGAGTAACTTTATATTTGAATAATATACGTTTAAAAAATTACTTTTTTAAAGACAACACTTCCAAAGAATCCAGTGTCTCCAATCTTAAAGATGTACCATGAATTTCTCATTCAATTTTCGAATATTAAAAAATTAATTTTTCAATTTTTTTTTGTTATATAAATTTTTAATATATAATTTTTTTCAAAATTATTTATTCTATTAATTGATTCCTGCATTGCCTCTGACTCCACACAAGTGTGTAAAATTTCAGATCAATCAGACGGATAAAAGTGTGTCAGATATCAGTTATAAGATTAGGAGCTGACAAAATTATTTTTTCAATTTTTTTAATATTGAAAAAAAAAATTTTTTAATTTTTAAAATTTTTTATTTTGACATTAGATTCATGCATTGTCTCCAACTTTACACAAGTGTACAAAATTTCAGATCGATAGGATAAGTAGAAGTGTATTAAATTTAGATTACAAGATTTGTAGCAGACAGACAGACAAACAGACAGACAAACAAGAAGTGAAGTTAAAGAGGAGTGTTGTAAAAAGAGCTTAATTTGAAATTATTCTTCAGCAATACATGATTTACATTCGGGAGGTATTTAGCTAAAAAAACTTTAAATTCCTTTGACGTAGTCTCAGATGCGAGACAAGTCAGGAAACGAACAATGATCGGGAGCAATCTATCGGGACAATCTATGTATATTACTTGGAAAAAATATCATTATTCGAGTGTAAGCTATTTGTGACAAAAACACATTTTAACCAAAAAATAATGCGTAAAAATTGCGTCCTAAAATTTCGTACTGACAATAGAACTGGACTCCGAAACTTTTTCTCTTATAAAGCAATGGTGATTTTTTTAGTTATATTACTTGTTTTTAAATTGATGGTAAATTGGCGATTTAAGCAATGAAGTGATCTTGATGCTTAAGCCACAGAAGCTCGTGTAAAAGAAAATATTCTTTTCATTTTTAGGTTGGTATGAAACGGCTTGCTTGAATTTGAATTGCGCGCTTATTTCGAAAATCATTTAACTAGTCCGATTATCTTCATTGCGATTTATTGTGTTGGCACTAGCAGGCATTGCACTCGCAGACTGCCCCATGTGTTCGACGAGGCCTCATGTCAAGCCGGCGTAAGAATCCCTCGTCGCAGAACGTTTGTGAAAGAACATTTAGTATGTTACTGCGTTCTCTTTCTCTAATTTATGACGTCTAACTGATACTCATGCATTCTGAAATAATGGTTGCAACTACATTGTAAGAGTAGCAAGAAACACTTTTTATATGTCAAGTTATGGTCGTTTGACAACATACGATAACCTCGTTTAATAACGATGACCAGGCTTAGAATGATGAATTTCAGTAATTGTAATGAATTTTAGGTGACTTTCATCTATGACATACGGCATCTCGCTTGTTTTTTTATGAACTTCGTGACGTTTCTATGGCTATCCATATTTTTCAAGAGCAGTATATTTTCAATAAAGTACGTAGGTACGCCACTTCTTGATGAAATTTCATAAAAACTATTAATGCCGGGCTTATAGTTACTATTCCTATAGTCATTACCATGCCCGCAGTTACCAACGATAACTTGAAAATTCATCCTGCAGTTGATGTTTTATCAATAATATCTTACATATATTGTATTAATTAAGTATAAAATAATGACCTCCGTAATTTTCTCAGGCCGGTCCGCCATGGAGGGCTTCATCGGCGAGGGCTTCAACCGGGGCAAAACTGACCGCAAAATTAACAAGATCAACATTCATCAACATGGTGAGTAGTCAACATCCACCAACATGGTGAGTAGTCAACTTCCATCAACATGGTGAGTAGTCAACATCCACCAACATGGTGAGTAGTCAACATTCACCAACATGGTGAGTAGTCAACATCCACCAACATGGTGAGTAGTCAACATCCACCAACATGGTGAGTAGTCAAGATCCACCAACATGGTGAGTAGTCAAGATCCACCAAGATGGTGAGTAGTCAACATCCACCAACATGGTGAGTAGTCAACATTCACCAACACGGTGAGTAGTCAACATCATTCAAATATAATGGATAATCGACATCCATCAACATGGTGAGTAGTCAACATCCACCAACATGGTGAGTAGTCAACATTCACAAACACGGTAAGTAGTTAGCATCCACCAACATGGTAAATAGGTGAAATCCACAAAGTTGGTAAATTTTTAACATCCACCAAATTGGTACAATTTTTAACATCCACCAAGTTAGTAAATTTTAAACATCCACCAAGATGATGACTTAACATTTGTCTGACTGAAAATGTTGGACGCTAAAATGTTAAACGTTTATTGCAGCCTTGTTCTCGGCGGTCCAGAACAACCAGTTTGAGAGGGCAGCAAACATCCTCAAGAATAACGAGCTCAACGTCAACAGGTGCGCTTCAACATCTCTCACTTGAACCTCATTCAAATTCCATATTTATGTTCAGATTTCAATAATTCTTCTTTCATTTACCTCGGCTCTACTTATTGCAATAGCTCATCGCTAGTCCTGTCTGCATCTTTCCCTTTCGAATTGGGTTTTAATGTCAATACCTGTATTTTAATCAACAGGTGCGCTTCAACATCTCACTTTAGCCCTCATTCAACTTCCATATTTTTGTTCAAATTTCATTAATTCCTTATTCATCTACCGTGGCTCTACTTATTGCAATCGCTCATCGCTAGTCCTGTCTGCATCTTTCCCTTTCGAATTGGGTTTTAATGTCAATACCTGTATTTTAATCAACAGGTGAGCTTCAACATCTCTCACTTGAAACCTCATTCATATTCCATATTTTTGTTTAAATTTCAATAATTCTTCTTTCATTGACCACGGTTCTACTTAATGCAATCGCTCAAAGCTGGTCCTGTCTGTATCTTTCCCATCCGAGTTAATGTTAATGCCTGTATTTTAATTCTGCGTCAACAACATCGATAGGTTTTCCTGATATTGAACAATCTACAGTTGAAGTTCATGCATAATCTCTAGTACGTAATAGGATCTTTTTTATGATTTGTTCAAGATGACATATCCGTGTGGAGGCTGCGAGCCTACCTTTATTATGCATTTAATTTAAAGTATGTAATAAAGTAATTTAACATAGTGGTAGTAGTCTATCACTGCTATTTTATTTATTTATTACACATTTCACTTACTCATCATTTTCTCTGCTCAACATTGTATAATGGATTTACTTTCATTCTCCTTTTCGTATCCTCGCCTGTAGAAAATTCACCTGTGTGTTTCACCCATTCGCTAAGTTTTTCCAATTTCTGTCGATATATAAATCCCAAAAACTTTTTCTTGCGCTTGTTCCATTTTTTTGTATTCAAAGAATAACATGTACGTGTTTTGTTCAGCGTAAACAACGAGGGACTGTCTGTGCTGGAGTTGGCGACCATGAACCACAACGTTGAACTGGTGCGGCTGTTGCTCAAACATGGCGCTCGGGAGGACACAAGCAGTGAGTTAGCTGTGTGAACTCATGTGTACTTGTGTACCTGTAACTGTGTTTGTGTGAACTCGTGTACCTGAAGTTTAAACCTACAACCTGAAATGAAAAATACAACACCTGACGTTAACGACTTGCCACAGGACGATGAACTTAACCATCTGACGGACATAAATTTTTCATCAACATGCTGTCCATGATCAACAGCCTTAAAACACACATCCTGAGATTGTATCCTCAAATACGTGGCTTTAAATGCACACACACTTACTTACGTTGAACACACGGAACCTGCCGTTGAACACACTGCCGGACATTGAACTCCTGTGTTGTTGCTTTTTACAAATTTCAGAATCATTTTTAAAAAAAATTTCTACGTTACCTTACGATTCTCATGTATAAAAATAAAAAGGTTCAATTTTCTAAAGTTAAAAATCATACGTGCATAATGTTTTGCACGAATTCAAGCAAAACTGTTGCTTATTCTGGTTTCTGTAGTGACCAATCATCTGATAGTCTATCGAAAAAACGTATAACCAGATTACACTACAAAATCAACTAATCTCTTTACAGTGACTTACTGAGAAAACACAGATTTTATCCTCAAATATTGCCCAATTGACCGCTTCGCCCGTTTCAGTAAACCACCTTTGCATACTCCCGCATGTACCCAAATAACTGCTGCTTCTTGCCACAGAGAATCACCTTAACAATCATTATAATCGCCACCATCATCGCAGACAAGCAGCCTAGTACTATTAACTATCATCATAGACAAGCAGCCTAGTACTATTAACTATCATCATAGACAAGCAGCCTAATAATATTAACTATCATCATATAGAGCAGCAGCCTAATAATATTAACCATCATCATATAGAGCAGCAGCCTAATAATATTAACTATCATCATATAGAGAAGCAGCCTACTAATTTTAACTATCATCATAGACAAGCAGCCTAATAATATTAACTATCATCATAAGCACCACGCCTAAAATATTAACTATCATCATAGGCAAGCAGCCAAGTAATATTAACTATCATTATAGACAAGCAGCCTTCTTATATTAACCATCATAAACACCACGCCTAACAATATTAACTACCATTATAGACAAGCAGCCCAATAATATTAACTTCTTATTAATATATTAATTATTAAATAAATTAATAATATTAACTACTTATTAACTACTAATATTAACTATCATCGGACACCTCGCCTAACAACTACCACCTCTCCCACAGAGAACTACGAGGCTAACGTACAGCACCTGGACAAGTGCCTGCGTGTAGCAGAGCGTCGCTATGAAGCCATCGTCGCGGCGGCGGTGACCAGCAAAGAGCAGGAGAGACACCGGGAGGCGTGGCAGCGACACTGCAAGCTCCACGCCAGCATACAGCGCGGCCTCGAGTCCCTTCGTGAGTCGCAAGGGCTTCAGCACCCCCGGCAGGAGTAAAATATTTAGGGAAAAAAGCGGCCTTGAGTCCCTTCGTGAGTCGCAAAGGGCTTTAGCACCACGGCAGGAGTCAGATATTTAGGGAAAAAAGCGGTCTTGAGTCTCTTCGTGAGTCGCAAGGGCTTCAGCACCCCCAGCAGGAGTCAGATATTTAGGGGAAAACGTGCAGGGGACGTTCAGGTGTAGAAGAATAAAACTTAGGAAACATTCAGGGAAAAAATATGCAGGGTACGTTCAGGTGTAGAAGAATAAAACTTAGGAAACATTCAAGGAAAAACGTGCAGCGGACGTTCAGGTGTAGAAGAATGTAACTTAGGAAACATTCAGGGAAAAAACGTGGAGGGGACGTTAAGGTGTAGAAGAATGTAACTTAGGAATCCATTAAGGTTATAGAGTAGACTTTATCTCAGTTATTATTTTCTTTGTTTATGAGATTATCAGAATCGTGGGCACATACACCCTACAAATGTCAAAATTATCACTGAAATGTTAAAGATACATTTGTTCAAGAATCGTATTTCCAAGCTCATTTCCTAATGTCCTAATGGTCCCTAATTCAAAGCGGTTGGTTCCTAATTCACCATTTAATCCTATTTTGTCGTACGATGCCTTAATTACCCCTATCATCACATCTCAAGCCATCCATATATCTCAATGCCAACAACATACCCTGAATTCGAAATCACTCCCTGATGCCACAATTACACTTAAAACTCCATGAGTACACTGGAAAACAATCGGTTTCAAATAACCTCTAAGCATAATTGACGTAGCGATTTGCTGGCTTAGTTCTGATACTCTTCATCGGGAGTCTTTTTTTTTTGTGCAATGATAATAATTTGAATAAACCACACGTGTGATTGATTGTACCTGATGCGACTAGAGTTATGTAACAGTTCCGCATTTATGTCCATTCTACCACAATTATCATATAATGTTTGAACCAAATCCTAATGTCGTATCATATTTAAAGCGAGAATAACGCATTAGTGACACCATCACACTCTAATGCCCCTCACAGAGGTGCCGGACGCCCCGAGCAGCGCTAATGTTGAGGTGATCGATAGTACGAGGGTGAAGGTGAGCTTCGCAGAGCCTCACGCCTCACCACCTCAAATCGTCACCAAGTTCAAGGGTGAGTGTCGTGCGTGACAGACAGGCACATGTGAGTCTTGTAACGATTACCGAAATGCCGCACGTGTTTCGCTGCGTAGTGAAGAAGAGTACAATGGTATTGACAAACGCTGAGGCTGCATGTCAATAAAAATGCTTTGAGTTTATTTAAAATTGACCGAGTCGGCTGTTGGAACATCAGTGGTTTTGCAATTGGTACGTCGGTCTGAAGGTCGGAAAGAGTAGCCGCATAACCGTTTCTTTTCTAATGCCATTTTTAGCTGTATAATCCAGCCGTGTTTTAAGAATAAAATAAGAATTTAAACGTTCGCATCGTTAACCTGTGCAGTGGAGTGGAGTGTGGACGAGTGGGCGTCGGCACAGTCGCAGGAGCTAACAGACCTCAGGAGGAACTCTGTGGTGATCGAGCGCCTGGCGCAGGGGCGGCGCCATGCGTTCCGAGTGTCAGCAGGCAACCTCAGGGGATACGGGGTGCCCATCTTAACATCCCCCCCATTCGCTGTTCCTTCCAGTGGGTGCACAATTGTTTTGTTGTTGTTTCATTACTGCGTACTCAAATTTTCTTTAGGTTTTTCAAATGCGTACATGTCTCCGGTTATGCACAAGGAAAATTCATGCTTATTCTACGATAGTAATTACGATTCCACTTGAAGTAATGCTAGAATTTTTTATCATTTTTCAATGTGGCTCAATGTTTCATATCACTTCCATTTGGCAAATGTCCGCATGTATTTCAAACTCATCCAATATTTATTTTCTAATTTGGTAGTTTCTTGTCCTACCAGAGACTCGGGAATTTCTTTGTGTAGAAATTGAATTGCGATGTCATTCACTGCGTAAATTTACGTTTAAATGACCAATGACAGTCATATATAATCTTATCTAGAGGCTAAATGAATTCAGGGTATGTAAGAGAGAAGAGTTTTATTGGATGCCGGGGATAATATGTTCTATTCTTAAGGCGGAGTCATATTAGGTATCAACTTGTGGGACCAAGTTCTTTTAGGTTCTCATTTACGTGTGATCTGCTTAATATTTTCCATACCTCAGAAACATCTGTCAAAAGAACTAATATTGTATTTATTTTGCTATAAATAGACAGAATTTAATAGGCCTCATCTCTTTTTGGCGTGTAAAGTTCGTGCAATAATTCCCACTCCCCTCGCAGGTTGGCGAGATCTGGACTCAAGAAAGCCGCGTTTTGACGGCCTCCTGCGCGAGTTCGATAACTTATTTAACCAGGTGAGTTTGCCTTCTTCATATTAAACCGAATTATCCATATGATGCGTTCGAATCCCGCATTTTGAAGCAAAAACATTTAATGAAAGCAATTTGGTTTCCAGTTTTAAGTGGACGGAATTCAACGCCGAGTTTAAACACTTAATAGTATATTTCGAAACCCAGTGAGTGATGGTGCGACGAAGTCTCTGATCTTTTAATCAAGAAGATACTGATACGTTATCGATTGAGAGTATTGCTGACGACATAAATTATGACCTGTCAAATGTTAGAGGAAAATTACCTAGGATAAGGGGTACGTGAGGTTATAGAAAAACTGAACTCACTTCACCTGGTTTGTATGTCGTCGGAGAAAGTGTAACATGAAAGTGTAGTATGATAGTGTACATGGTAGTGTACATGAAAGTGTAACATGAAAGTGTACCATGAAAGTGTACCATGGCAGAGATTAACGAAACTCCGCTAAGTACACGTAACTTTTCGTACTTACGTTCAAAAAGTTACGTATTGCGTAAGTCAGTCAAAATTTGGCATTAACAAAACTGTCTTACGCAAGACTCATCTGAAAAGGTATTATCGAAACCATCCAACTAACTTACCAATCAGAGGCTTCGAATTTGCTGTTCCTAGCTCCTGTCGACTCAGTGCGCAGTGCGCGTGGATGAAAGGAGGTTGTATTGTGTCAGCGTCATCTGCGTTGACTGACTAGGGAGCATTTGGAGAAATGAGTAAGACGTTGTCTAAATAGCAATGACAACGCCTTGATTGTAATTTTTTGCAATCAAGGCAAAAAATTACATTTTTCCCATTCAAAATTTGAGGACTTTTTAGAGAGCTACTTAGAATTTAGAACATTTTGTGAGTTGGAGTTCAACTATCAGCGGAGAAAGAAAGGAATTTGTGTACGTAGCTAGAAAAATGGTTGGCTTGTCAAACTCCACATAGTTTTGAATCAAAAAAGTCATGAAAATATTATTTTAGTGAATGATCATAAAACTCTTAGATACGAATATCAAGATTTGCTTGCAAATTACAGCACAAAAGGAAAAGAAATTAGCTGGCATAACTTAATTGAATTTTTTTCTCAAGAAGCACCGTTTAGCACGATCAAATATTATGCCTATGTTGAATTATTGACAAAATTCTATCACAATTTACCGTGTTGCAAGTAAATCAATAGTTTTATATTGCTTCGGCGCACTCAAAACTTCTACGTAACTCCACTTACGACACCTCCGAGCAGGCATAGAGCTACGTACGGCTTCTTGTACGTAGCTTCCCGCGCAAATGTTTTGATAATACCACCGCTAGAGTTACTTCTTCATATCAGCACTTACTCCACACGTAAGTCGCTACGTGTACTTAGCGATGTTTTGATAATCCGGCCCCATGTCTGTAACGCGTTGGGAAATGCTGGCCTTACGCACGTCTGTCCGCAGGTGCGGAGCGCTCGGCCGGAGCACGCATCTGAGATCCGGGCGATGGAACCAGGCCAGGAGACGCCGCTCAATCAGCGCCGCGCGCAGAAGAAGAAAGCCATCATGCAGCTCTTCACGCCCGCCCCCAAGTTCCATAAGAACCTAAAGAGGTGAGAACCTGGACAGATAACTGGCATCTCGACTTGACCAGGTGGCTTCTTGAGGAGTTCAGGCTTTGAAAAAGAAGAGGCATAAAAAAAATGGAGACTCGATGCGTACCCAGTAATGAAAGTAAATGGGTACTAGTTTACATCGCAGAATAACCCCATAAGTAGCTATGAGATCCACACAACCAAAGAATCGAAGATAATTTTGAAATGATTATAAAGTTGAAATAGAATTCAATAACTCCATAATGAAATGATAGACCATGACCCTATTTTAGTAAGTTTGACGGAAGAATACGTTTCTAAGGAATACCTCAAGCTGATAAAAAACAATCCTTAGAGATCCCACGAAAAGGATTGTATCTTATTATACTGCATTCAATGAACGTTGATTTCAGCAATTGAGTAACATGAAGTTGAGCCTTACTGGTAGTAGCAATTGAATTATTTGATTATTTGAAATTGAAACTCGATCCTTTCTTTTGATGTATTTTACTATCTGGTGTTCAAAAACTCGTCGATACGTACTCCCTATAAACATGTAACAAAGAATGCGGAAAAATTTGTCGCCGCCAAACTAACGAGAGCAGCTCGACCTCATTTGATGCTCATTACATCTTAACTCTTGCGTCAAGTTTACTACCTCCTGCCCAGTACCAAGGATATAGCATGTGATGACATGTTGGTATTGCCCGTGCAGGGGCTGCTACCTTGCGAGTATCGTGTGGTGCGAGAACAAGGTGCTTGTCACCACCGAAGAGTTCCTACCCGTCGTGGAGGTCGATGAGAACTTCCCTAGCCAGGCGAAGCAGGACCTCAAGTGGCTCATGGAGGTCAGCACTCATGATTATCAACTCTGGAAATAGTATTGCATACCAGAAATATTATCCTTCTTGAATAGAATAAATTACAGGCTTGACTCTTGCAGCTAACAATGGTTTTTTAAGCTTCAACCGATACTTTGGTAAGTAAGTAGCTCCGTGCCATTTTCCAATAGAATCTTGGATGGAGGGAGACTCTGTAATCCAAGCAAGTTTAGGTTTTAAAGTGCGGGAAAATTTTGAGGAGTTACAAGGTTTTGTGTTGATAAATTGTATTTAAATTATCGTCAATGACACGCGATTCGCCACTCTGTAGACACTGAACGTACTAACTCAACGCTCGTCAATATAAACCATATAATACTGGTCACTATGATTCATTGGGTTTGATTAATACTGGTCGGTATGATTCATTGGGTTTGATTAATGCACCATAGCAGTAAAGCTCTTCTAATCCTGCTAGAAAGTTTTGGTATAATTTTGCTCATAAAATAGATCGTTACTATTGAAGGCCGGCGACATGAGTGGATATTCATAAATATTTTCAGGTATTATTTATTCCAGCATTACTAGTATGTATTTTTAGCGCATTTTCTCATTTATGGAAGAAATGCACTATTGTACTCGCCATGTCCGTCTGTCTGTCTGTCCGTCTGTCCGTCCGTCCGTGACATCAAGTTTTCGTCGACGAGAAAATGCGCTCTCTGTCACTCACTGCTTTGAGTACTGAGTTATATTTTTTTAATTCTGTGATCCGTAGATGATCATCACGGAGCATTCAGTTGCAGTAAATTCAGTTAGATTTATTGGATGCGCGCAAATGTATGTTTCCTAGTGAAATAAAAATTACTGTTGGCTTTGCCAATATTTTAAAATATTTCCTGAAAATCCTTAACTCAATTTCATACGACGACAATTTAAACTGCTTCTCGACCACTTGAAAAAATGACAATTCTAATTCATCCATGGCCAGGAGTTTAAAATTTTCATTTTTACAGTGAATTTATTTATTTCTATTAGGTATATTAATTCATTTCTTTTCTATGCATTCTATTATATTCGAGGAAATTTTTATTTTTTTGATGATGATGATATTGTCAGCCTTCATAAAGTAGCCAATATGTTTATTCAGCTTTCATTTCTTACGATTCATGGAGCAATTTTGCATCGCGCAGGTCGCGGCCACGTGGGATGACGTCAAAAGCTTACGACAAGACATGGAGCGCGCGGGCTCTGTGTCGTATCTTCCGTTCCGTAGCAAACTCCTTCAAGCCGCCGCCAACATGCAGGTTTGCTATGCACGCCATTCTGCCTCATTTGGACACATTTTTCTCCTTTTGTATGGAGCCCATTTCTTATTTCAGCAAATATCCTTCGTGTTCTTTTCAGAAATTTACTAAATTTGTCACACTGTGGCATTTGTGTCGACTTTTCGTAGTCCATCACTTTCCTCAAAATTATGAGTTGGTTGCAAGTTTAGGGTTAGGAAGGCGCCCATCTATTGTGAAGGAAATTGTGTCTTAAACCTACGCAGATGGGCACTTTTCATAAACATCGCCTGTTAGATGTGAACGAAGAAAAATCGTTCGTTACTTTTTTGTTTGATTATGTATTCAGGCTTGTCAGATCTATATTTTGTAATTATTTTTCATAATGTGTGCGAGGCCGGCTCCTCTTTTTAGTGCATTTTCTCATTTATGGAAAAAATGCACTATTGTGCTCGCCATGTCCGTCTGTCCGTCCGTCCGTGACCTCAAGTTTTCGTCGACGAGAAAATGCGCTCTTTGTCACTCACTGCAATGAGTACCGAGTTATATATTAAGAGTTATGCGCAGCGCGAGGTCACGAGTTCACTGTTTGTCAAGAAGCCTGTTGTGTATTCTTATAACTGCGGCGATTAAAGGCAGCTCATTTTTTTTTTTTTTTTCGATAATTTTTCTCGCAGTGTGACCTCTTCGTAACTGTACTCTATAAGTTTCCACCGACCGTCTAGGGTGTTGTTTTTATGTACTCACATTTCCAGTTATTCAATTTCGAAAAGAAAATATCTGAACCATATATGATAAAATACCAGAGTAATTTCGCCAATTTTAACCAAATATGCATAGACATTTTTGTAATTTTGTTGCTGGTGATCAGCCTTAGGTGGACACCTGATACACTGACTCAGGGTCAAATGACCACAAAATTATTGGTGGGCAGACGGCGCTGGGAGTTCAGGACCTGGGCCAGCTGTACCATGAGATCATCAAGGACAGCCAGGGCGCGTTGGTGTTCTGCACCGTCAAGCACGTCCGCTCCACCAAGAGTATCGCTACCATCAACGTAAAGTGGGCGCCGCTCAGCAAACTCAAGGAGAGGAAGCTCTCCGGTGTCAGTGAGTCCGCCCAACATCTTGCCAGGTTCCATCACCCCTAAGGGTACGCACACAGTGAAAGCAGGTTGCCAGCGTGCTGGTTACCTGCTCAGGCTGGCGCCTGAAACCATAGAATACAGAAGCCTGTTCGTACAGGTTTTCGCTGTGAACACTTACATTATTATCCTATGTTCATTCTTGTGGCAGGTTGGAGCAGGTTACCCGCGCCGGCAAACCTGCTTCCACTGTATGCGTACCCTATGGCCCGTTAGATACAGCAAGCAGCGATAAATCCCTCATTCCTCAAAATCTGTAAAACTTGCAACGATTTTACTAATCCAAAAAAAAAACTTTCACACTTTGTAATCGCGAAACGAATAGTAATGATTTCCCTGAACTTCAGGTCCCATCAGCACCCCAGGCGACGCGCCCTCGCCCTCAGCAGGGGAGCTCCTCCTAGCGTCGCTCCTGAAGCAGATCGAGTACGGGCGAGCCTCCAGCAACCACCTGCCCCGTGGCCTCTACCTCGGATACCTGAAGCTCCAGAGTTCCATGGAGCACCTGCGAGTCCTCGTGCCCGACAAGGGCCCCAACATGCTGCCCAATGTCAAGATCCGCGACAACACCCACGTTTCCAGGTATGTTTTCGAGTGATGCATAAGAGCTCATATTTATTAAATTTTAAAAATGATGGAAATAAAATTAGTTCTGGCGACACGGTGGTTCCTTTGTTAGCTGAGAGACTAGTTACGCATTTCATAATGTACTGAGTGATGAATGAGGCTGAAATTTTCAACTAAATATCGATCGTTGTGTCCGTACCATCAGGGAGGAGTGGGAGTGGGTGCAACAGCTGCGCTCTGGAAAAGATTCCCCGCCCAGTCCTGCCCAGCAGGTGTGGCAAAGCCAGCTGGCCGCCGCTGCCCACAAGCTCCTCTCGCAGCTGGGGATGAGTGGAGACCATCGGATATATACTGGGGAGGTTCTTGATTTTGATGGGGACGTGTCACTTATACTGATGTTCCCACCAAGCGAGTCTCTCTTCTGTAACCTCGGCCAAGAGGATTCGTTGTTATCGCGACCTGACCTGCTGGCCCTACCCATCCACACGTTCGAGATGGTGCATCTTTCGACGTACCTCTCCCCGCTGCTCGAACGCTACGCTAGGCTCTCGTGCATCCTTGAAATGGACAAACTTGTGGCCGAACACGCCAAGCGTGAGGCATTCAGCCAGGAAGAGATCAATGCCACCAAACAAAGACTGGCGCAGGTCCAGCGCTTCCAGCAGATGCTGGATGACGCTTGGAAGCAGCTCCGCTGGGTCAAGGATGCTATCAGTTTTGCAAGGGACAAAACCAGTCACGGAGTTCCTATGAGTGCCATAACCGCCTCCCTTGGCTCATCCGTTTCACGCAACTCCCATTCCAGTTGGAGCTCCCACAGACTCTCAGACGCGTCTTCTCCTCCTTCCAGTCCTCCATTCCATGGCCTCCTCCACCACAGTTCATCAGACTCGATACATTTTGGTGCTGAAAAGAAACGGTTCTGTAAATCTGACGATAGGCTTCAATCCAGTCGGCATCGAACGATGAAGAAATCCAGCACGGCAGAAAATGTGCGCGTAACACCTAAGGCTCAATCTAATTTTACCAAGTCCAAGACCTCTGATTGTTTATCTCACATCCCAGGTGACATCGATCCTGAGTATTATTGTTCACAAACTCCCTCTAAACTTAGCTCGTTTGCTACATCGGATGAGCCAACTATGTACAGAAAAGATCAATTGAAAACTAGAAGTGAAATTCAATTGCCGGATTCTATCGCTCCGGACGGGCCATTCCCTCGAAAAGCAAGTGCCCCAGCACGAGTGGACGGGAATGACCCACTTGACTCTGACCGAATACCTCCGTCTCATAATCAATCTGTTTTCTGTGATTCATTATCTATAAACTCAATTATTGATCCATTAAATGACCGCAGACGAAGGGACTTGGATCCTATATGCTGTGCTCGCAAAACGACAGGCTCAATTAGGAGTCCATTATCTAGCTGCTACGACTTAAATTTTGCTAGCTGCCTGCCCTTAGATATGAACGTCGCAGGGAGTGGTTCAGGACACGAGTCAGAGGCTTCTTTTCCCAGCATGACGACGAGTCTTAAGTCTTTTTCATCCACTGAGACCGAGACCGATGCGCTCAGTCTATTGAGTCGAGAAAGCGGCCGCAGCGAGAATAGTGAGACAAGGAGCGGTGTGGAGGGAGAGGAAATCGACGGTCGGAAAGCTGAGGAGACGAAGGCCATCAAGCAGGTGTACGCTGCTTACGAGACGGGTATGGCTAAAGGAGTATCTGTGAAAATTCAAGTTAACAATAAAACAACTGCTAGGGACGTAATAGACGTTGTGGTCCGCCACTTGAATGTCGCAGTCGTGCAGAAAGGCAAGAAGGGACCAACTTATGGCACAGAGAAGCTCAAGAACTTCTGTTTGGTGGCTGTGATAGACAAGAGGGAGCGCTGCCTGCGAGACGACTTTAAGCTATTGTCACTTCAAGATCCATGGCGTCAGGGCAGATTGTATGTCAGGACCAAGACCGATCTTCTTGCAGCCATAAACCATTGCACATCGCGCAATTCAGGGCACGGTTCTTCCTCTTCTGATGGGAGTAAAGTTGTTCCTCCTCCTGAAGTGAGTCCCCACTCATCCCCAAGCGACTCCTCGTCCCCAGACCAGACCCCAATCTTCCCCTAGGACCTGTAACCATGCGTATTTCTCCGTCACAAACCATTTTGATCTCTTAGCATTAACAGTAAGTTAAGTTAATACTGGGGGACGCACCTTGTGGAGTGGGCCCTGGGTGTGTCAGCAGCCTTCTACTTGGCTTCATATTGGCTTGGTTTGGCTTCTTCATAAGAAAAAAATCTGGCATAGCTCAATTTAATATGAGAAAAGATCACCGTATAGGTCAGATGTTGATTCCTCTACACTATCTTATTCATACGGGATACGAATGAAAATGATAGCCGCAATCCGCCAAACCTGGAAGAGTGAGGAACCCATCAAAAAAGTTTTAACATGATCTAATTCTCTAAGTTTACTATGTACATACGAAGGTACTGTAGCTATATTTTCCTTGTATCCAGTGGCACCTGGAACTGAACGTCTGTGGTAGTATGCTAGGACCATCAGTGAGCACCATTGGACCATCACCACTCGTGACTGGTGGCCAATAGTCGCTTTTTTCACGTATGATTTTAGGTTAGAACGAAATGCGTTTATGTTTAGCCTGTAAAGTAGACCGCTCTTCTACAGGGTTTCGTTCATAAACCTAGCAGAGGAAATACATATCTTTCATTGGATATTTGGCTCGACCTTCTTAATTTGTTCCATCATTTGTGAGTTAATCGACTTATTTTTCAACATGACAGTGAAATATTCTACATCTATCATACTTGGTGATGCGTTCAACGCAAATTTTTATGAAAATCTGCCGTTTCGAATTAGGCATGTACATTGTTCAAAATTAATTTATTTTGCACTGAGGCTGGGAGCCATAATGAGGACAGTCAGCTTAATGCAAGCAGCGTGATATGCCCGTACGAAAAGAATGCAGCGAATAAACTTAGCATCAGCGAATAAACTTAATTAGCATCAACGTAGACTAGCATGTATAGGACTGTACCAAAGACAATTAGATTTAAACTTAGTTCTGCGACGAATATTTCTTATATCAAGGCTATTTATTCTTTTCATTGTTGAAGGCTTCGATCGGAGATTTGGACTGAACAGTTTCCGTTCCGTATTAGATGGGATAAGTTGCACGGTATACCCCGAACACTGAAATGCTCGAGCTCATCACTGATTGTGAGCCGAGCCTTTCAAACTGTAATTAAATCTTGCTTTCTGTATCGACATGCCATCCTCGAGGTAGATTGTAAATCAAAATCAAATATACAGTGGAATACAGGGGGGTTGGTGAAACGATTTGCATTTTTATTGTGATTGGCGAGCGTGACTAGAATCATTTTATCGATAGAGGTACTTTAACTTATGCTGTTGTTTTAAGCATGAAATTAGCACGTCGAGCTAAGCTAGCCCTCGCTCAAGCGTTTGAACCTCGACCATCCACCATCCACACATAGACGCTGGGATGGAACCTGCCCATACTGAGAAAATACCGTGAGATCATTACCGAATAATTACAACGAACTCATAAGATTATTGGCTGCGGTTTTATCCAACAAAATATTTGTTCTTTCTCGTTGGTAGATTGATGACTCATATATCTTAGCAAAAATAGGGAAAGCGAGCTTACGTAGCCCAAATACATAGTATATTGTAGAGCTATAGACAATACATCTTACAGAATAACTCGTTGCGAATAGAAAGTTTTTGTCGCCCAATGAAGCCATGGCTAGACGCTGCTTTGCTGTGACATAGATACCACCTGAACTAGCTCTAGTGTGACCTGGATTACAAATGAATTCAATGTTACACACGCCATGACACTGAATAAATGTTCTCTCAAATTTGTTGCTCAGTAGCTCGACACTTTGACGGGAAACATGACACTTGCTTCTCTTTCATTAAGTTTATTGTTGGAATAAATCATAAATATACCGAACACAAGGATCGTGTTGTTGCAGAGATGTCTTCTTATACTGTTTTGGATTTGTTGGGGCTTAACTTAACCCTTCACATTTAGAATTTTAATTGATCCTCTTATTAAGTCATAATTAATACTTTTGAAATGTAGATAAATAATTCACTAGAAACGAGAGAGTTTAAAATCATTCATACAATTTCAGATGCAGTGGTAGCCTGCGCATCATATGGTGTGTACTCGCAATGGAAGCGTCAGTTGGGCGGTCAAAAAGAGCAATAAGATCCGCCGTTCCTAGGGACTCGTGTCCAATTTATTTATACTCAATTACTGTCAACCGTGCAATACTCAGTGCTTGTTATTATTCAGCTCGTTAGGGCGCATGTTAGAGGTTAATACCATACTAATAATTGGAAGGAAATCCAACGTTAACTCCATACAAAACTCACCGTGCGAATTACTGTCGTGGTGCTGAAATCTTCCCGAGGAACTCCCCCTCATCCGAAACAACTTTTTCAAAGGCCGGGAGCCCAAAAGAGATTATCGAATTTTCTTGTTTATGAAAAGAACTTGTAGGATAACTTGTCCCAAAGCACGATTTTTTGCAGATGTGGCTTGAATGACTCGTCGACTAAACGGTTTCTCGTTCCTGCCGCTGGCTGGCGTCACCAGCTCCGATCTCTACGGCCGGCTATCGAAAATTTGTGCCTCAGATATGCCGGCCAAGAGTATTTTACGATATACATATGCTTTAGTCCGGACTAGCTTAGTAGCACCTGAAGAGCTTTTGCGGCTGGAGCTCTCTCCCATGACGCTTGTTCTTGTTAGATAGTTTCTTTTAGCCTTTGGACTCTCACTTCATAAGCAGGCTTCCATTACCGCAGTCTCAATACCTCCTTATGTTCCAATTATATATTCTACTTGTATTTTTCATTCTTCGTCAACACTTACGTGATCTTCCTCAATTTTTTTGCGATCTCTTTCATCACCTTATAGTCGCTCTCTTTTCATATAAACTGTCCAGCAAAAACTCAATAAAAGAAAAATCATGCAGTTCAAGATTCATCAGTACAAAGAATCCTTACAATGAACCAATTTTTTACGGAAAATAATTTATCTAAACAGATAAAAATTAATTTTAGGCTACAAAAGAAATATTTCAAGTTTTCACATCACTATTCGATTTCCTCCGCATCTTATAGCTACTACATTTTCATTCCTCTCTAAATCTTATCTATTTCAAGCTTTATTGTAGCTGCTCGATTTCAGGCTTCTCAATTACCCTCCGTGTTACTGGACTCCATTTCGACGCTCATTTTTTAAGCCAGTTTATACTTTTAGAGGAATTATTGTAATTTTTGCACTGGCGCGTGAGGAGGGGTTTGTACGTTGCAGTTTTGTAGTAAATATCATGTTAATATTATTATCAGGCTAATATTATTGTTATAGTCTTGATGTATATTTATGAAAATGAAAGTATTTATGACAGCTTTGTTTCATTCTTTTCCTAGCAAATTATTTTCGAGAGTCAATTAGAATTTTTTCGAGTCGACGGAGAGTATACGACGGAAGTTGAGCACACTTTAACTTCACATTGGAATGTAATTTTGGTAAGCAACGAAAATATTCCCCTTTAAAAAAATCCAAGATAATTTTTCACGGTTTTCCGACGCTATATTGTTGGTCTTGTTTCTCGTTCTTCTCTCCCCCTCTTCTGTTCTTCTCCCTGCGTCATCTTCGATCAATTATAAATTTGATTTAGTTTCCTTTCACATGAAATGAAAATAATTAAGGTTAAGGAAAACATGAGCGCCTTTAATTTTATTCAGTTGAGAAATGCACGAGTGCCTCGCATGTTTTATTCGACAAGGAAAGCATTAGTGCCTTACTATCGGTTTATTTGCTTCCGATTTAAATGCTATTTAAATGTTTATTTAAATTAATTCCAATTTAAATAAACTAGCATCACTTTTAATTAGCCAACCGTTGCCGACATTTTATATTGAGTTAATTAATTTCAAAATTTTTGATTAAAAACACCGAATGAGAATTAGGAATACGAGGAATAGCCAAGGCTCTAAACCAATCAAAATTCTGAAAATTTTAATAAAATTCGTCATTTCAGATCATCCGAACCGCAATTTTTATGCACCCTGATAATAGTTACCGAGCCTTGTAAACGGACGTTAGGTTATTTCAGAAAAATGAGTATCATCTTCCAGTGGAGCCTCTATACAGGGGCCATACTTTCAAAATTCGGTAAGTGAACGTAAGTACTTACGCTCTATTTTCTTGTCAATGATTGGTGGATTTGTCAATAATTGGCTGATGAACTTACGATCTCTTAACTTTTTTTGAAAGTATGGGCCCAGAATCAGATAACTATCTTAACTCACAATATCGTTAATTGAGGAACATGACTTGCGTTAGTTTTCACTTTGCATGTTCAGTGTTCACTATTCTTCCATCGATAGACAGTCAATTCTGCAAGGAAACCCAGCACAGCCAAGCAGGTGCCCAATAGCCACACGTAGAAAGCACTCTGCACCTAAACCAAAGATTCATGCGTTAAGAATACAACTTATAAACAATATTTGCCACAAGGAAAATTTGTAATAATTTTGGTGAAATCTTTCGTGTTAGATTCTAAATATTATGTATGCAATTAGTGAGAAATTTCAAATCGATGATGATTTTTGATTCACGCTGTTTTAATATTTTTTTGAATTTCGGTAACAAGTAATAAATTAGAGAAATTTATGGAAGACATCATTACATGAACATTAGTGCGCCAGCGAGTGGCAATTTATTTGCCCCTGGATAATTCTGTTAATAATTTAATTCGTGATATTAGAAGCGATTACTTAGGTTGCATTCTTTAGGAGGTGACTCAATTAATGAACTATTGTTTGCCTACGAACTATTACAATCCCACACAAATGCAAAATTGCGTACGATCCATTGCCTTTATAAACGCTTGAATTTCTTTTGTGATAATCTAAGAGCCATACTTGAGTGAAGAACTGGCAAGAGGGTCTCGAAGACTTAGGTCAATCATTATATTTAGAGGATAGAGTCAACCTCAGGTCATTCTATATATCGAGGATAGGGTCAGTCTCACGTCAATCAATATATCTAGAGAATAGGGTCAATCTCAGGTCAATCAATATATCTAGAGGATAGGGTCAATCTCAGGTCAATCAATATATCTAGAAGATAGGGTCAATCTCAGGTCAATCAATATATCTAGAGGATATCTAGAGGATAAGGTCAACCTCAGGTCAATCAATATATCTAGAAGATAGGGTCAATCTCAGGTCAATCAATATATCTAGAGGATAAGGTCAACCTATGGTCAATAAATATATCTAGAGGATAGGGTCAACCTCAGGTCAATCAATATATCTAGAGGATAGGGTCAATCAATATATTCAGAGGATAGGGTCAATCTCAGGTCAATCAAAATATCCAAATGTATTTAAAAAAAAAGTTTTTTCAACGCACTTCAGAGTTGAGAATTTCTTTTCTTTTTGTTTACTCTGAAAAAGTGTGGATAGATCGTTACGAAAATACTTCATATAACGCATGGCTTAAATCGCAGCTACATCTATGTAAAATACTATGGAAATAAATTTTACAATGACCAACTCTCAGACCATAATATGAGGCCGTCATATATATGGGCACATGTACAAACTCTCATGTGTAGATTCTTACTATACAACCGCTGACAACATCTCTCTACTCACTCCAAACACAAGAGTGCGTTGTATCTGTTTCTCAACAGCTTTTTAAATTTTGTGTGAATTCACAAATGACTTAGCACCATCTAGGAAAGATGACAGCTTATTTGAATGTAAACTTAATTATTTACTTGAGAGGAGCAAAGTGTGCTAGATGTTTCAAGGATTCTTGTCAGGAATGCTCCCTGTCAACGATATGTTCATTATTTCGTTACTTATTCTTAGAGTCGCTGTCGATATTTTTCAAAAATACTTTACATCGCCGAATTTTAGCAGAGCAAGTAATCAAAAGTTGAAATTTGATCCCTATAAATTTACAGCTTATAGAATGGTTTCGAAACAACACCAGTGCCACCCATGCTGACCCTACCCACAATAGACATCTAAAAATATATATATATATATATAAGAAACGGAAACAGCAGACTACCTACAAGCAAACCAAGGCCAAGTTTACTCCAGCCAGAGATCGCAGCAAAAAATGAGATAGGTAGATGAGTAAGAGTTGAAATCCAGGGAACAAAATTTATAATTTATCTAGTTCATGTGACATAATACGCTATTTCAGGTATTTTTCTGTCACCAGTTTCATAAAAATTAAATAAATTGAAATGCCAGAGCGTCACCTGTTTAAGAGTGAGAGGAGCGTTACTGCTGGTCCTGAAGGAGTGTTCGCAGGAGGCGGAGAAGAAACGCTTCTTGGAGTGTTCCACCAGACCGAACGACCGCAACTGCCTGATGCTGTGTGTTACAAATTCATCAGTGACATTATTATATATATGGTTTCTTTTCATTTTAACTGTCTCGAATAAATTAAATAGATCAAGGCTTGTAAAGCGCGACCGCAACGAAGTGTGTTCTTGTGGGAAATTGGCATCCACGAGCCCGCATATTTACACGGTTGATCGATCCAAAATTTTAATAATTATCATTCGGAAATATGTTATAATGCATAAATTGAATATTCTCGTTAAAAAATCTCATGAACTTCTATGTACGGGATCTTGTCGAAAAAAAAACATTTGTTTGTTTCGACACGAAACAAACAAATGAAACATTGTGTTGTGAATAGAAAACTCGTCCAAATATTTGGAAAACTGATCATATCCTTTATCGCTCTTTCCCATGTCTCGATTTCTGAAACAAATTTTTATTAATTTCAGGAACCCCAAGAATTTTCGACTCGATAAGTCAATGAGACTATTTCTTAAAATATATAAAAAATATTGCACAAAAAAGCTATTCTCCACTAAAATGAAAACGCCATTGTGTATATTAAATTGTCTGAAATTGAAATTTGTTGATATCAAAGCCATTAATTATCAGAGTTTTAAAGTTCCTTATCTCCCGGTCAGCAGCACAAAGAGCTAAGGGTAACGTCGATAGCTATAAGCACATATGGTAACGCTGGAAGCTCCAGAATAGATATTTACCACCTATATATAGGACCACTTCCACTAACCATAATATTACTACGCATAATTACTACTACGGTGATACAGATGAAACTGTATAGCAATAATTTTTGAGGAAACGAGCAGCTTAGTGTGTAATTTTGCATAATCAAGTTGAGACATTCTGAATCGAGGGTTCCCAATTTCTGTAAACTGGGCTCCATCGGCGATATTATCCTAGTGGTAATGTTATAGAGCACCAATTGAAAATGTTAACAGACATTCCGGAGCCCACTGCTTGACAGACAGTCGGCCACAGATACTTCCTTCATATTTTGGAAATTCACTGGCATGCTGGGCTGCTCTCACATGTCGTCGATACGATTCCTGAAGACGGAGTTACTTGCGTGCGCCATCATGTCGATGTCGTTCTTGAGAATCTGCCGCGACTCGTGGAAGCGACAAGTTTGACCACGCGTCTCGTACGAAGCCGCACGCCCCACGCCCGACGAGACCACGTCTGGGGGAGTGGGTAACTTAATTAGCTGAATTCCCAGAAACGTCACGGGTACAAAAGACTTCATGCTTCGCTTGGACTACAAGGGCCATAGTGAAACGTTCTGAAGCTATAACAAATTTATAATGAGTCCACGGAGTTTGTACCTCGATAGGTTTTATTTCCAAACAAAGAACACCGCGAATGGTAATTAACATTTCAGAGAAATAAACTTTAAAAAACTTAGATAATATATTTTGCTTAGTGCAAAGGTAAAATTTAGCACTAGAACTTTTTTGTTTACATGAACAATAACATACAATCAAGACCATAACCACATGCTGTATGCAGTTGGAACCGCTCAGTCGGACGACGCTACATAGAAGAACCAAACAGGCAAGACTCGTCTACCGACGAAGTAACAAGAAGGCTGCGCACGTCAAGTTCTTACCTATTAGGCAGTAAGAACCACTCTGTATGAGCTCGAAGAACTGCCAGGTGTTCAGGAAGTCGTCCGCCATGAACTCAACTTTCGCAGCGATTGGTGAAAACCGTGGGAAGTTCTGTTTAAAATGTGCACGTTTATATTAATATTATAACAATCGATATCCCGTTTCGATTTTAGACCGCACACAAATCCTTTAAATATTACCACGAACCGAGCGAAATATTTGAAGCTCTTTGGTGTAGTACAAATAATATATAAAGACTGATAGTGAATGGATCTAAACATAAGAATTGTTTAAGCTACTTAAACCATTTTGTTAGACAGTGTACACGAATCATTTGCTTTTTATCGTCGATTTATTCTTTCTCTCTCTCTATGCACTATAAAAATTGTGAAAAAAATAGTAGGAATGAAATTTCTTTGCGCGTATTATTGTTTATCCTCAATAATCTTATTAGTAAACCAGTTATTTAACAACGTGCCTTTTTAATTGATATTTTAGACCAAAATGAGTTTAAAACGACCAAACCATTACAGGGCGTGCCGACTCTCATCCTAATTAAAATTCTATGCCGAGACCGCAACGATCTTGTCCAGATTTAGGTGGATGGAGCCGTGAAACAATAACCGGCCATTTAACACTAACAAAAGATAAGTTAGTATGAAAAGAACTACAAGAAAAAATTCAACATGTCCGGCAGAGCCGGAAAGGAGCGCTGTTCTAGCGCTGCCACGTGAGATGCGCGGCAGAGCCCGGCCAAGCAGGTGTATATGTCATACATCACAGGAGGTTTTGAAATAGGGAGATGGGTAAGAGTTGAAATCCGGGGAGGGAATTTCATACTTTATCAAGTTCATGCGACATAATACGATATCTCAGGTATATTTCTGGTGCCAGTTAGAAATTAAACTACTCGACATTATTTTAAATATTCAAATTACGTGAGAATTTATTTCCTTTCCCGTTAAAATACCTCCGCAAACAGTAACGTTTACGCTCAACTCAATTGATAAGTTACTCAGTTTGTCTAGAAAAAATTGTCTAACCTGAATGTACGGAGATCGTAGTAAATTTTTCTATTATCTATTGAATGATATAAATATCCTGCTTCAAGATTCGAATAGTCTTGGATAGTTTTGAAAACGCTCTAAGCATTAATAATATTTTTATATACAGTAAAACAAGCCTGTCGTAAACTTATATATGTAGAATAAATTATGTATTTATTCATTCGTAAAAATAAATTTCACCATAAAATGAGCTCTATTATTTATTTAAATTAAATTGAGGCTATAATGTGACCCCGCTATTTCTCAGTACGAAATCACTGGCACCGCGGCTGGCGATATCGTCTCTACTGCAGAAATTTTTCTTCTCTGCCGCGCATCTGTCGTGTCGGGCTTATATCGGCAACGACAACCAGTCGTAGCAATTAACCATCCGTATTTCTTGATTTCATCCACGAAAGAAATAGGCTCAATTTTTGTCAACCTGGTTAGCTAAGTTTTATTAATGTTCATTTCATCACCAGCCCTGTACCTGTAAACAATAAACTTGCCTCATACTGTACTCCAGCCTCTCCCTAGCTTCTGAGTGTCTTGAAAACCTTTATTCCAGCATTGTCAACTCTATCTTTACACAGTCACATTCCTGGTCCTACATTTTAACAGGGAACACGAACACAGGAATTTTCAGGAAATTTAAATAAAAGCAGCTTGACCGTGTGGACCAGGGCGTTTTTTGAAGCACCGCCGAGGGGGCAAGTTTTTCTCATTAAGTTTTCTCGCAAGCGCTTCGCAACACTTGTAACCAAATTTCTTATTGACCAAATAACCTTATTTGCTTTAACAACGCCATGACCGTTATTTTTGATCACACAGACTACGAAAGTACTTCAAGCTAGACATGAGCATGGGGCTTGCCACACAGGAATCGTTTAGGCTGATCGCCATGAAGCATTCTCTCAAGGGACTGACCAAGATAAAATTCGAGTAGACTGTGTTCATCCGTGTCACAGGCGTCACTTCATCCAGACGAGCCATGAGGTCCTCAGCCGAGTCGATGGGTTTTGAGCTGCAAACGTGAGTTTAAATTTTGTATAGTGGTCTACGGTAAAACTGGAGCGCGCAGCGCACTGTTACCTGAGAATCAATGCGGCATCTACCGCAAATTGAATTCATTTATTAGTAAAACGTTGAAGGCTTTGCTTCTTTCATGACCACAGCTACAGTGTTCCACTGCGATGTGTATCAAAATATTGAAACTGAAATTAGCTGTGTTATGGTTACCGTAACAGAAAAATATGGAGGAACAATTTCACCGATATAAGCGAAGATATAGTAACTTATATGTTCTGGGATTGAGCCATGAATCACTCAAGAATAACTTCACTGATACACTTACAAAAAAGGCCGCAAAACAAGCCTGCGTAACGCTGCAAAATATGTACAATTTGATTTGTATGTGAAAAAATACGTACAAATAAAGTTATGTAGATAACTATAAAACACCCAACACATGAATGTGACCAGATAAACTCCTCAAATGCAGTGACATAGAAAACCCCTGGAGTTCATAACCGTTTAGTTGATCATTTATTATTGAATTATTGAAACTGTTAGTAAATTGTTTCACTTTGTATCCTCATACCTTCATCCTATTATGTAGCATTATATACATTATCTGCATAAAATTTGTAGCTTGCGGATTTGATAGCTAAGGATTCCATCGAATTACAATTTCTACTAACCTGCTAATAACGAAGAAGACAATTTTAGGAGTTTAGGTGGATGCCATCTTGGTAGAATAAGATGGTGAGGCTGTGTCACCACTTACCTCCTGGGCACGGTGAGGAAGGCAATAATGCTGCCCTGGTAGAATAAGATGATTAAGTGAGGAAGGCAATAATGCTGCCCTGGTAGAATAAGATGATGAGGCTGTGTGTCACCACTCACCTCCTGGGCACGGTGAGGTAGGCAATAATGCTGCCCTGGTAGAATAAGATGATGACTATGTCAGCACTCACCTCCTGGGCACGGTGAGGAAAGCAATAATGCTGCCCTGGTAGAATAAGATGGTGAGCTGTGTGTCACCACTCACCTCCTGGGCACGGTGAGGTAGGCAATAATGCTGCCCTGGTAGAATAAGATGGTGAGCTGTGTCACCACTCACCTCCTGGGCACGGTGAGGAAGGCAATAATGCTGCCCTGGTAGAATAAGATGGTGTGGCTGTATCACCACTTACCTACCTCCTGGGCACGGTGAGGAAGGCAATAATGCTGCCCTGGTAGAATAATATGGTGTGGCTGTATCACCACTTACCTACCTCCTGGGCACCGTGAGGAAAGCAATAATGCTGCCCTGGTAGAATAAGATGGTGAGCTGTGTCAGCACTCACCTCCTGGGCACGGTGAGGAAGGCGATAATGCTGCCCTGGTAGAAGGCGTACAACGACACAACCACAAAGAAGAAACACGCAGTCGCCACGCGGGATGACGCGTTCCGTAGACTACGCAGCAGCGACGTTTCTTTAATATTAAATCAGCATTTTAGCATGAAATATTTCATATTTTGACCGATTATTCATGAGCACCAGAACAATCTTTAGTTATCAGTATGAAGCAAACTATTCAAAATTGGTAAAAATAGTCAATAGCGCAAAATGTTGAAAGTAAGGTAACTGCATGCATTTTCATTCTTGTATTATAATATCGGAAACTTGAAATTAAAAAATAAAGATAGTAAGTAAATCTTCAAGTTAACGATGATAAAATCTCTAATCATTCATCTTCGTAACAATAGCAGCGAATTAGAGCCATTCATTGCCATATATGACTGAAACTAATGGTAAATTGGTCAAATCATTTGTAGCAAAGAGTGACTCGCCGTAACAAAGACTGACTCACCGTAGCAAAGATTGACTCACCGTAGCAAAGATTGACTCACCGTAGCAAAGAGTGACTCACCGTAGTAAAGACTGACTCGCCGTAACAAAGATTGACTCACCGTAGCAAAGAGTGACTCACCGTAGCAAAGACTTACTCACCGTAGCAAAGACTGACTCACCGTAGCAAAGAGTGACTCACCGTAGTAAAGACTGACTCGCCGTAACAAAGATTGACTCACCGTAGCAAAGAGTGACTCACCGTAGTAAAGACTGACTCGCCGTAGTGAAGACTGACTCACCGTAGCAAAGACTGACTCACCGTAACAAAGAGTGACTCACCGTAGCAAAGACTGATTCACCGTAGTAAAGACTGACTCACCGTAGTAAAGACTGACTCACTGTAGCAAAGACTGACTCACTGTAGCAAAGACTGACTCACCGTAGCAAAGACTGACTCACTGTAGCAAAGAGTGACTCACCGTAGCAAAGACTGACTTGCCGTAGCAAAGACTGACTCACCGTAGCAAAGTAAGACTCACCGTAGCAAAGAGTGACTACCCGTAGCAAAGACTGACTCACCGTAGCAAAGACTGACTCACTGTAGCAAAGAGTGACTCACCGTAGCAAAAACTGACTCGCCGTAGCAAAGACTGACTCACCGTAGCAAAGTATGACTCACCGTAGCAAAGAGTGACTCACCGTAGCAGACTGACTCACCGTAGCAAAGTATGACTCACCGTAGCAAAGAGTGACTCACCGTAGCAAAGAGTGACTCACCGTAGCAAAATATGACTCACCGTAACAAAAACTGACTCACCGTAGCAAAGACTGACTCACCGTAACAAAGACTGACTCACCGTAGCAAAGACTGACTCACCGTAACAAAGACTGACTCACCGTAGCAAAGACTGACTCACCGTAGCAAAGACTGACTTACCCTGCAGGATGAAAGACTTGGCAATGGCAGCGGTGGTGAGAGGGAGAGAGTAAAGCTGAGATCTGGACGAGCTGAAACACATGAGGGTAACAGCAACGTTACATACGGGAGACTGCAACACCGAATGTCAGGAGTGGCAACGTAACACGCAAGTTACGAGAACATCAAATGTTACGAGTGGCAACGTCACTCGTAAGTAACGGCCGGCCACTTAGCCGTCATGCGCAGGCGCTAAATATATCACTATTAAATTGTTGTCACAAGTCAATCAATTTACGTTTAAAAATCCATTCCGTCACGCGACCCTTCGCTCCAAATCGAATGTATGGTTATTTTTCTCTGATATTGAGATTCCAACGAGTGCTTTATTTATAACACGCATAATGATAAAAGCAATCAACGATAAGAATGTCGTTAATTATATAGATATCTGCCGACGCAGATAGAGAACACTGCAGAACAAAAAGTGAAATAAAATATACAAAAAATTTCACACGCAACCACTTTTTTTTCTTACACCCAACACATCATAGATCTTTCTAAGTCTCTACGTTAAGTCTTACTTGAAAATGTCGCGAGGTAAGCAGTTGCTGGACATTCGCTCAAAGAAGTAAAGTGCGGCGCCGCTGAGAACCACCGAAATGCCAATACAGCACCAAACCTCGTGTAAATAACGAGATTTTTGTGAATGAAGGTACTTGCCACATTAGGTTGCATTTTCAATACAAGCTTTATATCAGAATCGTATTGGTAGATTGTGGGACGGAATTGAACCCGTCAAATGAAACACAAGAATATTATAAAGCGAGAAGTATCCATGATGACATCATATATAGTCTTTTTAACGCATTTTCTCATTAATGGAAAAAATTCACTATTGTGCTCGTCAAGTCCGTCCGTCTGTCTGTCCGTCCGTGCCTTCACGTTTTCGTCGACGAGAAAATGCGCTCTCTGTCACTCACTGCAGTGAGTACTGAGTTATATTTTTTAATTATTCTGAGTACGAATACAGTCACATGTGGAGAGTTTTTTGTCAGCATTACAGAGCGCAACCTTTGGTAATTGCTATATCGGTCGCATTGAAAATTTCGCTCACCGGTAGCGAGAAGATCTGAAGCAAAAGGAACGGTACGGTGAGGAGGGATGGCGAACGGGAGATTAAAATCACTGGATCTGCGAAGTAGCATTTCGAATTTTGTGACAAGTGGAATTGTGTGAAATTATTATTATGATGATCCGTCGAAGAGTAATGATAGAGTTAACTATGTAATGACTGTTAGCCTAATAATTTAGTTAGCTGAATCATCATCTACTTTCAAAAACGAGCTTCTTCAAGATAAAGAAGTGAAGACAAACATATAGCAAATAAGTATGTAGAAACTGGATCAATACACTTAGACTCTATTAGCCCACACAAAATTAATCGGGTTACACCATTGTTTACAGCCCAATAATTTCTGTCTATTTTATATCATTCAGATAAAACAAATCTAGCTAACTTATTAGCATTTTCCCCAATATCGTAATTTCAGCAAGCTCATGTGAGAGATTCTGAGAACAGCAATCTGCATGAATCCGAATAATTTAGCTCTGGTAGTATCAATAAGTATAAAGTGTAGGTTAATAAATTCAGTTTAATTATTGAGGTAACTATGGTGATTTTCTTATTGAATCGCCCAAAATATCGGGAGTAATTTGCATGCACCATAAGCTCCCTAAACCTTTTCGCCGAGACCTAGTTCTCTTAGATAAGTGAGAAGTTAATGTAAAAGAACAACTAATTTATCCTAATAATCGCATTTGTATGCACCATAAGCTCCCTAAACCTTTACGCCGAGACCCCTAAACCTTTACGCCGAGACCTATTTCTCTTAGATAAGTGAGAAGGTTAATGTCAAAGAACAATTAATTTATCCTAATAATCTTATTTCACCCATGCTCAGCCATTCGCTGAAATCAACGACCGCCTGGCGCTCTAGAGATGGAGAGAAGTCCAGAGGTGAGAGGCTCGCTCTCTGTAAATGGATGTTATTATCATATTAATAATTACCTGATCATATTAATCTCATCAGCCACTCAACCAGAACAATAATAAGGGCAATGCTGAGATACAAATGAACATGAATGGGAAATCTAATTGAGTTAAGATTCAAATACTTCATAAACTTTTTCAAAAATATTATATATTTTAGTAGCTTACCAATGAAGCTTTAAATACTTCTTTGTTTGCTTTTGACTCTTATATATTCTCTTGAATAACGTCATTTTCATTGTCATAAACAAACTCAAATAAACATTGACTTTTCCTGACCAGCACTCACCCTGGCGACGAGGTCACCCATCATGCCCGACCATGTGCCATTGCTTGTCAATACACCAAAGCTGCTCGCGACGATCATGTCGAGCGAGACGTTGAGCTTCACGCCGATGATCCTGACGAGGTCGACAATGTATCCCTCAGCGGCGGTGACGTCCTTACGCTTCTTGCCGTCCGCGTACAGCGTCTCGAAAACACGCGGCTTCTGTCGTATCCACATACGCGCGCGTTGCACAATGTTCAATGTTTAATCAACAGTTTTTGCTTTGCTAGAAATTATTCGCTAATGCTAGAAATTATTTTCAAGACACTGTCAACTTACTAAATTATAAAGTAGATTGTAGACCGACAAAAGATATTATTCATGCAATATTTATTCCACATGGAGAACACGCTTGGTAGTTGCATGCATTCCTGATGTGGGAACAACTATCACAATCTTGTTATTCATATGCATTTTATTCTTATGCATTTAGGTTGTTCTTTAAGATTTTTTATTATTATTATTATTATTATTATTATTATTATGATCGGATCATTATTCAGAATTGGTTAAAGTTAACCTAAAACAATTGAAATTTATAAAGAAATATCATTGAATGCACAACGTGAAATGGAATAATATTGGATTCGAAAACTCACCGCGGACCAACGAATTGTTTCGCAAGTCATCTGTTGAGGAGGCCGCTCAACCATTAATTAAACTATTTATGACCGCTATAAAAAATTTCTGAGACATAAATTGTAGCTAAGAAAATCATTATGCTTGTGCGTGTAGACTTTATACTCGTATATTAGTTACTTAATCCGTGGGATGCAAAGCACAAAACATGACACAAACCACGAGTTTCGGGAATATCATTTGTTTTATATAAAAATTGCCCAAATTTGCCCACTGCCTAAACTTGCACTGTCAGCTTCCATCAGCACTTACATGGACCACTGAGAGAATCAGTTTACGTCCTTGAAAATCAATTATTTTTGGATTCGAGATTTTCTGGTGCAGCCGTAGTTCTCCGGAAGAATGCCATGCCCCGACATTTATGAGACGAACACTGCCATCACTGGCGGAATGGGAGGTCAACACGAGAAAGCTTTCCTCATCCGCTATCCCCCGCGGATCTTCATTTAGCGGACTGTAAGATGTCATGGAATGTTCTGAAATTGTTGACATTTTTTTCCCTTGGTTTGTAGATTCGTTGGCAAATGCTTCGAGGGGTCGATACAAAATCACCAAATTCGCGGTTTCAGGCAATTTTTCTTGCATATCGAGAAGCCAGAGGTCGAGGTTTTCAGTCGCGTTGTCAGAACCGTGCAGAACAAACACGAAGAAAGTTTGCTGTTGAAATCATTATAAAAAATTAGTTTTAACAACTTTAGCAAAATCTTGCCTTGTATTTTCAATAATTACAATTATTTCATAGCAGTCGTAAGATTTACCATCAGAAGTTCTCATTTAATGACTAATATGATACGCAACCAACAAACCTGTAATCGAATTAAATTTCTCTTCGTTAATTTCAGTACCTGGACAGAAAATTAAATTATTATCAAAAGTAGCATAGTTGTAAATTTCACGCTTTTGATTGCAATACATTTATTAAAATTATGACTCACCAGAAACTATTTACACTTCAATCGCCGATCATATTGGTAATTAGCAACGTAAACCATTTCAATTTTCGCCACCCTGTTGCTTTGTAATATTTTAGTATGATGCTTTTATCTTTATTTTAGAAATTTCTTTGATTTAACAGACTAGGTTGGCGGCTTTAGTTTCTAATTCGAGCACAAACTAAATAATTGTTAGTGTGAGGCATCGATTTATATAATTTTTTTTAATAATATTATTATTTTTAAGGCCTCCCACACTCACCATTCCAAAAAAAAAGGCTTGACATTTTTTTATATAATGTTTGTTAATATAATGTATATAATATTTTTTATATAATTCCATTTATATAATGATGCATCCATTTAAGCATTTTAAATCGTGTCTCACTTCGTTTATCTTCTTATCGAGCCAGGATAGTCCCCCGTAAAAGCCATAGGCCGCCTCCCTGGTATAGGCAGCGTTGTCTAACATGTGCCTACCAGACGTACCTTCTTCATCGCCCCACACCGACATTGGCATCGTGGTCGTGCAGGAACTATAAATACCTGTAGATTGGTAAATACTAGTAAACACTGAGGTTTAGACCAACGATAGATTTCACTGTAAATAGTTGAAGTTGAAAGTAAGACAGTAGCCATTTTTTCGAATCTCTGATGTTTAGAAATATGGCAGGGTCTATTTCAGATATGAATTTGTACACTTACCATTAATGCTAATTCCGATTTAAGTATCAAAATTTAAGACAAACGTTCCGTCTTGAAATGAAATTTAGTTTTGAAATAGTGATAATGATGATTGAAATAGTGATAATGATTTAATTGTGTTAGTGAGCTTGTGGAGTGTGAACACTTGGGATGACGATACTGGATTTAGGTATGCAAACACTACCAATGATGAATAACTACAGAATTGAATATTTAGAAAAACGTCGAATGAGTGCGAAGCCAAATTTTTGTTGGAGCATTTTTTTAATGCTTAGTTAAACGTATTGCGAGGAAAATGTTCCGATGAAGTTAATGAATGTAATTTTAAATTAGAAAACAATTAAATTCTTGAAGGACTCTCATTTTGCTAGCAAAATGAGCAAAGCAAGCAAAGAAGTCTTATAAGCAAAGAAGTCTTTGCTAGCAAGCAAAGAAGTCTAATGTGCGTCCTTGCAATGTATCTTTAAGTTTAGGACGTTTGGACCAATAAGGTGCATGATGTTCGGACGCACCTGGGGTGTTCTCATACTGAACGGCGACAGGCACATACTGCCGGCCTTGTTCGGCAGTCCAGCGCCGCATCACCGCAGCCACGGCGCAATCCTCGAGCGAAGCCAGACCCTCGCCGCTGCTGGCTGTCGCATACCAGGCTATGGCTACCCGTTCAAATAAGAAAAAATAAATAAATTCATCAGTCGATGCTGAAAACAGGCGGTGGTTCGGTTCGAGTTGTGCATAGCCATTGAAAATGAGTGTTCGGGGATTATATTATGCAAACAAAAACTATCTAGATGAATTTTTACGGAGGCATATTGTAAGTTTCACGTCAGAGAAAAATTTGTGCTTATTATTCGACTTTATTAGCAACCAGTTTCGAAATATTAAAAGGAGACGACGACGATGAGAGGATAGGACGAGTACCAGTAGAACTGCAGATCACTTGAAAATATAAACCACTGAATTCTACCAATGAAGTCGAAATTTCACGAGTCGAGTTCGGAATAACAATAATAATATATAATAAATAAATTACAATTACGGTTGGTTATTACGCCAGACACCATGCATGTATTTAGCCAATAAATCTTCAGTATGGTTGCCGTCATGGGAGACATTCATTTGAAAGACTATGTTGGGATGAGGTATACATTAAAAATAAAATATTTGTAATATCATTCAGTTATTTTTTGCACGGTAAACATAATACGGTTCACCAAAGCGAATAAAATTATAATTTCAAGTACTGATGAACAAATGCAAAGCGTAAGACAAGATTAATACCGGAATCCGAAATGCAAATGACTACTAATTGACCTTCAAAATCCAAAATCTTTATTGCAGCAATCTGATCGAATCGCAAATGTGTATTGTTAAAACTATGGGTGATGTGTATGGGTGATGATGGATCTTTCATAGATAAATATGGAATATATTTTTTCACTATTTCACAGCAACAACCAATTTTTTTAAATAATACCTTAAACTAGACACAAGACGAATTTGTACGTATTATATTAGCTCGAACTCACCTAGTAGAAATGCAGCATCAGTGGCTAAGGAGCGCATTTTCATTAAGCACTTAAGAAAATGGCGTGATTTTTCAAAAATTTACGTAGTCGAATTTTCTTTGATGTACATTACGCAACGATTTGATTTTAAATGCTTGAATGAACGGGATTTCTCCTTCGGAGATTTTCTGACGAAATCAAGACAGAAAATTGCCTCAATAAGATTTTATGATTTTAATAAAATATAATAATTGCGTTATTGCGTCACTTCGTACTACGGCATTTTTATGTTTCTAATCAAAATTCTATTGGGCTGTATATGATTTAATAGTATTTCCGTTTATTTTAGTTAAACAGTTAAGTTGAAGATACCGCGTTTGGTGGCAAGAGATGCAAAGGTAGGTGCACTCCTGCGGTCTCACCACTTTTTTATCGCATTTTCTCATTTGTGGAAAAATTCACTATTGTGCTCACCATGTCCGTCCGTCTGTCTGTCCGTCTGCCCGTCTGTCTGTCTGTCCGTCTGTCTGTCCGTCCGTGACTTCACGTTTTCGTCGACGAGAAAATACGATCTCTGTCACTCACTGCGGTGAGTACTGTTATACAGTACTGTATAACAGTAACAGTAATATAACAGTACTGTATAGTACTGTTATGTTATATTTTCCTGTTATACGTTCACCATCGCCGAAGATATCCTCATGTTTAGGCGACAATGGCCGTTACCAAATGAAAAGTTAAGACATTTAAAACAGAACTTCTCATAGGCTTTCATAAGCTCCTTAACATGGAGGATAATTAAGTCTTGTCCTCAATTGAGTCTTTATGTCATCAAAATCAGAAGCGTCACTAGGTTCCATGGACATGGAGGGGAGGAAGGAGTTACTAAATTTACGATCATAATCACGTTTAATGTAATGACTGTTTTTATGATAATTCATTTAAACTTATATTCAATCCCCATTGAATTCAATTTGTCGGTATTTGTTTGTGAAACAAAAATAAGAATTATAGTTTCAAGAAATTAACATAAAATTATTGGGGTTCAAAAATATTTTAGGCGGGAGTCCCCTCTAAAAAATAAGCCTATATATTGACGCCACTGCTCAGGAGCCGACTGAAAAACTAGGAATTGCTTGTGATATTCACGTTCAAGTTTACCTTCTAAAAACAAGTGTAAAGTTTGTTAAGCATTTTATGAACGTTATTTGCCAGAAATATTCATATGAACTATTTCCCAATCTATTTACATCGCATCCTGTTCAACTCTCGCCAATTTCTACAGACTATTAAGGCAACATCTCGTGAGGGACTTGCTTAAATGGTCAGTTTCTTCTTCCTGTTCATTTTTGACACCTCAAGTGCCAAACGCTAATGCCATCTGTATTGGCATCTATAATTTATTTATGCTCTTCAATCACAGGAAATGGAGCTTCTTTACAGATTCTAAGCGATGACATTCACTCCCGCAGTCAAACCTCACTTATCATATAGTAGTCTAGATACCGAGCCTATTGCATTTAAAAGGAGATAAAGCAGGTATGCTCAGTACAGCTCGGGAGGATGATTTTTTATTATTAGATGGATGTATTTATTATAAGATGGATGCATCCATTTAATAAGATTATCCAGTCTAGTGGAAAAATTACGAATTTAAATTTTTGACAAGCATCAACAAGTTAATTTGTAATAATATCCAATAATGCCAGCAAAAAACACAATAATAGCCATCCATTTAAAATATCTTGAATGAGATCAAACCCAGCATTAACAACATTACGCTCAACGTGTTCAGTCGAAAAATTTTATTTTTCTCTCATCAATGTCATTCGTCGATGTTTGTAATCTTTTAGGCTACTTAGGCTCAAACACAGGCCGAAGGTGCAAGTTCTGTTAATATCACATGACGTTCACTGAACAATGAAGAAGAGACTGCTCCTGCTAAACCGACTGTTTTGCATGTTTTCGTCCAGAAAAAAAAATACACCATGAACATTTTCTCGTCGAAAGTCGTTGAATGTCCACTGATTACATAATTTCGGCGAAAAACTGTGAGGAATGTGAAGCATCGATTTAAGATCAACGCGGGAAGTGGTCCGACTAATACATTATTCGTCGTAATCTATCATTTATTCTCAATGGATCTGATGTTAGTGGCAAACACAAGGAAATTCAAATGCGGAAAAATAAATTGATGCTCTGTTACAAGGAAGCTGTGAAAAGTATAGTTCATGACTGAATAAAATAATATTCAATCGAATAATTCATCCTCAGCAATCATGATGGAATATTATATTTCCATTGAAAAATGATATGCGATACATCTTCAATAATACTTCATTATTAATATATTGTACATCTGTTAAGAAACTTTATAAGAAGTCCAATACCTTAATTTGTGTTGCTCCTATACTGAATGCGGTCCTAATTAATTTGGAGGAATTTTTAAAATGTTTGTTAATTTTCAAAGGAATAATGAATTATTATTAAGAGCTTAAAAATGAATTCAAATATCAAATAGATTTTTTATACGTATAACAAGCCATTATTCCTATGCAATAAAACTACCTTTTCACTAGTTAATGTGCTTCTAAACCCTTCCGTGAAAAAGAATGCTCTAATCTTCATAGAACTCATGACGAGAAACATGAAAAATACTTTGACAAAGTGTCAATCATTTTCGACACGCTCTTTACCATTGAACCTGTTGAACATGCCTCGACCTGTTCAACACGAGCCCCTATACAGGAATATATTAAAAACTACCTTATATACAGCTTTCATTACTCATTCAGGTACTTCATTGAAAGAAAATGAAATGATTCGTCAGTCGCTGTTGCCACAAATGCCACCGGCGAATACATTATTTGTTTTGTTTCATCATTATTGTAGATAAGAAGAGGATAAGGTCTTTAAACTATTTTATTCAAGTTCAGAGTTCATTACAATTTTTTTAAACCTCAAGCCAATACGAAGCACACATTTCGGTGAAACTCGTTCAAATTACTAATATTTATTGTAAATACTTATTTACAATATTTATTGTAACAGTTTAGGGTGCAATACCATTCAGCGTCGTCAGTGATTATTCAGTGATTATTCAATGGTCAGTGATTATTCAGTGGTATTTGTAAACGGGAATTGCAGCTTCATCTACAATTTATTGACCAAAGTTTATTGGTTTATTTGAAGCCAATTGCATTATAAGTTTACTGGAGATATTCCAGCGCATGCCCAGTTTTGCCTATACACCCACAATTGTCAAAGCAAATCAATGTTAATCAAATAATGACCAGTAATTATTACCATTATAGAATGTAACTAAATGAATGTATGTAGAATGTAACTAACATAGAACTGTAATTTGGCACCCGTTTCTAAGTTTGATTTTGATTACAGTCGTTATTTTCCAAATAAACTTAGAATTTACTTATTCAACCTAAACAAAGATATTACTCAATTTAAAGCAGCATTTTGAGGCGCCACGTGATTCCTGCACTAAAATTAAAATTTAATTTTGGGTAATTTCCCTAATTGGAAGGAATTGTAGATACTCGCTCGAATAGCATCTATATATATTTTCGGAGTTCCAGGGCCACGCTTCTATTATATAAGTTCTTTCGTACTATCGACCGAACTTATACAAGTCTATTTGTAAGTTATATATATTTAATAGATGCACATTCTATTCTAAAGAGAAGTTAATAAAATTTCCCAACATTTCACAAAGCTGGAGCCAAATGGGAGTTTCATGTCAAAATTTGGATTTGAATATAAAACTATCTCTAATTCGTATCACTTTTATTTTAGCAATAAAAATTACGGGCGTAAATTTCCATGACAACTCTTGGTTCACCTGCTAGTTAATAGTTCAAGGAGACTTGACGGGTTCGGGATGCCTTAGATTTCAGTCGAAGGAACAGAAAAAAACGCCTTCGTGTACAAGGTGGTGGTGGTATTTAAAAGCGCTCGTTAATTAAGAAGGTCAAACACAGTTTACTGTTGTCACCAACAGCACTTAACAAGGCCTGAGAACATCACGCCAGAGGAGGAGTAGAGCAGAGCGGACGCCTGAGTTGAGTGCAGGGAAGATCGTTGAAGCGATGCATTCTCTCAGCGTCGAGCTCGAGGCAGCGCTCGTAAGTCGAGTTGCTGGGCAGCAGTTCACCACCGGGGTACTGCAGGGGCGTTGAGTACCGCAGTCAGAAGACCACAGATCAGATATATATATACTCTATACATGAATATTATTACCTTTTTTCCTTCAAAATGCGTTTTAATTTCTACATTTTTTTTTTGTTTGGTAAGTTTTAGTCCGTTTGATTTGAAAATTACAAGTTAAAATATAAATATTCAGGCTAAATGAGAGGGGAGTAATCATGATGCATCACATAACAGCACAAACTGTACTCCCCTGCCCCCAGTACTGTGCAGCACAGTACATGCATCACATGACAGCACAAACTGTACTCACCTGCCCCCAGTACTGGGCAGCACAGTACATGCATCACATGACAGCACAAACTGTTCTCACCTGCCCCCAGTAAGGTGCAGCACAGTACATGCATCACATGACAGCACAAACTGTTCTCACCTGCCCCCAGTAAGGTGCAGCACAGTACATGCATCACATAACAGCACAAACTGTTCTCACCTGCCCCCAGTACGGCACCCCGAGGGCCATCGCCGTGCCATCCAGCCACCTCCAGTCGCCGTTCTCGGCTGGGTCTCCACCGCCGATCCAGTAGCCGTACGAAGGCTCCAAACCTGTACGTGATCTAATGTTAGCTTCGACTGTTTTTAGAGATCCATAGATAGTTCAGGACATTCTAGACGAACATCAATGATCCGTTGAATAATACTCCGGAATGATAGGCGAGTTTCATTAAATTTCAAATCCAAATAATTTAAAATAAATTTTTTCCTCCACTAATTTGAGTGAACTTTGACACTGTGATGATATTAATTTGGGGATTACGATCATTTCCCAAAGCTATTTTTTAGAAGAAATTTTTTGACATTTATGTTGAAGAAAATTCTCTTCTTGTCTCAGGCTATATAAATAATTAAAACCTAATGAAAGAATTCAATTTTAATGAAACTGCAATATAGGAAGAGAGAAAGTGGAAATGTTTTTTATGCTATTTACAACGGAATCTAATATCTGTAACGTATGACGAATTTCCTTGAATGAAGAGATTTAAGTAACTTGGTCTAAGTAACTTTTTTTTTAAAGCCTAATCATGCCGAGAAGGTAGAAACAGTCATGACTTACCAAAAAATGATGCACAAAAAAGAATATACAAGATTCTTGCCCCTGTCAAAACGTCTCGTACTTAATTTGGTTATCGACCCAATTAGTTTTGTGAATTATTTGCTTTAGGAATCATCCGGAAACAGCGCACATCAGCTGGATGATTAATAAAACATAATGAAGCTTAAAGTTTTTCACTTCATATTACTGCATTTAAAATTGCATTTTCACTAAGGTTGGTTTTTACTTACAAGTTAACATGGAAGTGGAAGTTTAGCATAGGTGAATTTTTGAACAGAGAGAACTTTATTTAGGCTACTCAAACATATACACAGCGCTTCTCAGTGACCCTGTAGTTATAGGTGAATAAATGAATGAAATTAATAATATATAAATAAATTAGTTTTTTCTAAATGAAACTTATCAGTATCATTTATTTTACATGCTCTACCTTGTTGGTGAATGTGATCAACCACAGTTCGGAATTGAGCGCAGTCCTTAAGTATGACCAGGTCTCCTCCCTCGCGCTGACACAAGTCCCGAGAGAAGCTGAAGTTAGCGTATTGGTCGACGGCGAAATGCAAGCACTGAGATCCAACCGCCACAAAAGGCAGGTCACAAACTCCATCTGCACGGCAAAATACGAGGGGTTAACCATATAACCTATCAATATGAAGCATTAAAGTTTTATTTCGATATAACATCGTAACCTAGCATGAATCTTAATAATGAAACCGTGTTGGCCACATCATGCCCGTTGAATTGTGGACGCCGAGGGTAGATGACTTACCTCAGTAAAAACATTAATATTGCATATTCTCCAGAGGAGTGGTACTAGAGCTGACTCCTCGACACATAAATTTCACAAGTTTAAGCAAAGTTCCCATTACCTACCACCACTGGGTGGAGTTTCACATAAAGGAGCAATGCCGACGGGAGCATTGCATGCGTAGTCTCCGAAATAGAAACCTCCTTCGGTGTGCAGCGCTGCGCAGTATGTGGGGTAACTGCTGTCAGGCTCCACGCTTCCTCCCTCAGCCTGTAAACGCATACATTGATAACTTGCCTATCCAGCATATATATTAGGACATAAGTAAGTTATTATAAAACGATCCGATGGAAGGATGGAATATATAAATAATTGATTGAATCGCGCAAGCAGCGAAACATTTCCTTTCATTGAAAAGAAAATTCATAACGCTATTCATTTTTAGACATAAAAAAATTACCTACTTTATTTTAACTTGTTTCAGCAAAATCGAGTTTCTCTCATATGCTCCTTTGCGGCAACTACTGCATCATTATTGTACAATATACATTTACAATACCGATACAATAAGCGCAATGAACAAAATGTTACCGACATAAATTACCAAAACAACTCACTTGAGACCGACAGGTTAAAATTGTATAAATACTTTAAAAATTTTCACAAATATTGGATAAACATTATCATGATGAATTTTCGAATGAAAATAATTACATCCTCCTCATAACAGTTGAAATTATGATTTTGCTCTGAATTTCAGTCACTTCATCGGGCCTTATTTATGCGAGAGGCTCAAATATGAGATTCTTATCACCTGAGAATCGTCTGATGTTCGATACGATTCTCTGTGTATACAAAATGGAATAGATTCAGTCTTATCCATTCACGCTACTGTCCCTTAAACTAAATTGTTTTCCATGTTTGAATTTTTTCTAATTACAACAGTCTACATTATACCCAAATTTTCCAAATATTTTCGACTGATGCTCAAAATTATTGCGAGAAAAACGAGTTTTATGTTAAAGGTTTACGTTTTTGATCTTGGGCATTTTCCCCTCTTTAGTATAGTAAAACAATTCAGCCTCGTCAGATAGTTAATTGGTAGCAAATACGTTACCTTGAAACAGCTCCGTTGTTCTTCTAAAACTAATTTTCTAATCGAGTCTAGTTAATACAGAGCTTCCATTTTCCCGTCTTTTCCGTATACAAGGCCGATCGAGTAGCCGATCAGTTTCTCAGGATTTTCCCAATAATTTTTTCATGTCAAGATAACTGAAAATGTCCTCTACTCCTAAGAATAAATATTCATTATGACCGTTGTTGTGATGGCGGACAGTACTGATATTTATTTATGTATACCAAGTTCCTGGGTATGACTTGCTAAGACTTATTTAATTGCGCAAATACATTTTACGAATTTTATCTTGCGCATTCTTCTCAGCGATTGGGATGAGCACTTAACATTTCAAAACTAAAAGACTCTTTTATGCGTTATTACCTCATTTTAATTCCTCCAATGGTACTAGTTCAGATTTGGTATTTCACATCGCCTGTATGATTGTACCGTACTTCAGCGTAGGGATGTTTTATTTTTAAAGGACCTTTAGATTTGCAATGCCCTCATCACACTAGATGATCCATCGATCATCAAGGAAAAATATTATTTACATTGAAGGGTAACGTGATTCTATAAAGATACTTAAACAGATGGCATTTCTTGTGTGGTGTTTAACAAGTATTCTGTTATTTGAGAAAGACAAAATCAATAAATGCCCAGAAAAAATTTGAGAAAGACAAAATCAATAAATGCCCAGAAAAAATTTCCAATAATTGACGATCAGACTCACTAATCATTGACTAGAATCCTAAGTTTCACGTAGGCTGAAATATGGTTAAATTATATATTGTGGAAAGGTAATTACGACCTGAAATATAGATAATAGGTAATTGATAGGTAATTACGACCTGAATTTAGCTGTTGGCATCAGCAATCTAGCAGCGTTTCCCCGCTATATATAGACTCTCACTACCGCAATCCTTGGACGATCTTTCGCTAGACGATAGGGTGAGTATAATCATTTCCAGCATTCGAATTTTTTTAAGTATCTACGATTTGACGATTTTGATTAAAATCAGTGGAAATGAATATTTTTCCGCGAGTTGAGCAACTCTATAGTGGCTAGGTTGATATCAACCAGTTACATACTGGTACGCCATGTATACTAATGAAATTTTATCAGAGCTATGAATAATTAATCAGCTCATAAACATAAACGTTAGGATGTAGTCCAATAAGATGTTCGTAGATGAAATTGTGGTCTGGCTTAAGAACGTGTCGGTTTGCCTTATTTTCGATGAACTCGTAGGTAGTATCTAATAAATCCGAATAGCCTATTCATTGTTACAATAGAAGATCAAATTGCAAATAAACAGTCATCAGTTATATTCGAAGCATTGATTTAGATATTATTTCTATTATTCACTTGCTTTGCTCGTTCTTCAGAATTGTCAACTGAAAAGTTCCAGTTTATGTAGGCCGTAATATAAATTCTTAACTTATTATTAAACGGCTAATTTCGTAAAACCCCGTTCAGTTGTGGTTCTTTAGCCAGTTACAAATGCAGAGTTATTCTGGTTATTATTTTTTACTCCTAAATATAATTGTTTGAAACTCTCATTTTGAATAACTTCGCTTCGTCGCTTAAATTACTCCCATTTTGAAAGAGTCGCCTAGCCACAATCTATTAAAAAAAATATAACTCAGTACTCACTGAGGTGAGTGACAGAGAGCGCATTTTCTCGTCGACGAAAACATGAAGTCACGGACGGACAGACAGACGGACAGACGGACATGGCGAGCACAATAGTGCATTTTTTTCATAAATGAGAAAATGCGCCAAAAAGAAGTCAAAAACGATTTCATATTTATAAAAATCATAATTGAAAAGCTTTTCTTCTAAATCGCATAAAATCTTTCTAAATCAAAAGGAAACTATCAATATCATCATTTTTCAGAATAAATTGTAATATTGAGAGCCCACGGCCGATGCAGTACTCCCACCTGCCCCCAGTAGGGCACACCCAGGCCCACGAGTGTACCGTCCCGCCACTGCCAGGCACCGCGGGATGTCGAGTAGCTCGCCCCAACCCAGAAGCTGTCGTTCAGGCCGTTACCTGAAACATTAACGCAGCAAATTATGAATGACTAACAGCCTACAGGACTCTCATTTTTACTACCTCGATATGTGCAACCTCACACATACCATTCACGTAGTTCACGGCGTCAGAGAAGATATCGCAGTCACTTGCCCGGCCTTACGTAAAACATTAACGCGTCAAATTATGAATGACTAACAGCCTACAGGACTTCCATCTTTACCATCTCGATATGTGCAACCCCATACATACCAGTCACGTAGTTCACGGCGTCAGAGAAGATATCACGGTCGCTTGCCCGGCCTTACCTAAAACATTAACGCATCAAATTATTAATGACTAACAGGACTCCCATCTTTACTATCTCGATATTTGCAACCCCAAGCATACCAGTCACGTAGTTCACGGCGTCAGAGAAGATATCACAGTGGCTTAGCACGGCCAGTTGACCGTAGTGGCTGCGGCAGAAGTTCTGAGATTCTTCAGCTGTGAGGAAGTCGTCGCCAGCCAACACACAGCCGCTCCCTACGTCAGCGAAATTTTCTGGGCACACTGCGCTGTCGCTGCCTTGCCGCGAGGAAAAATTAGGAATTTAAACTTTAAATTCATATAAACCCACAAACTGAGTAAGGGTTTGAAGGCGATCGTTTTTTTTTTTTGTAGACTATGTGCATGCGATCGTACAGCACTATGCACCAATTTCTTCTGCTATTGTCATATATTTGTCATGAGCTTCTTATAATTTAAGACGACTGTAATATAACCCATTCGAGGTATTAGTAATTTATGTTTTCTATTAATTATCTCCAAGACCAATGGCTTGACATAATTTGTGGTCTTGACATAAAGTATTATTTGCTCAGGTTGTAATTACAGATAATGTTCGTTTAAAATTTGTATTCGGTTATGCTAGTCTAGGCAATATTTTATACCAGTTTTGATAAATAAATGCATAGGCATCTACTTTAAAACTTCCGAATTTTTTTTTTACTAATTACATTCCCCGTGCTACTCAGGTGCTATGTACTTTCGAAAGATCGTATTATTTTTATAATACTCGATGGCAACGGTAGTAAACACAATGTGGATCAGCGGCAAGAAGAGAACATTGCAGGGCGGCAAGGAACATGTGCTAACTTTGCCACGACAAAAAGTACAACGTCGGGTAAGACCGAATTAATTGGTTCGTGGTTGCAATAACGATTGATGTGCGAACATGGGAAACGTAAGAGCGTTGTTTTTCATGCCAGATTTGTAAAAATGTTATTGATTGAAATTTAAGTCTAAATAGTTCATAACTCTGTTATTCTACAAAGTATTAAATTGAAAATGAGTAAACATCCGTTTCGTTTCTGTTTCTCTCCCGTCTTGTATGGAAGCTTGAATATTAGTATTATATTAGTGTAAAATTATTCGCTATACAAATTAACATAAAATAATTCTATAATTTTATCTACAAAATCGATTAATTCCATTCAAGATTATTTGCTGAATTGCCGCCATTTGCACAGCAACCTAGTCTATTGCAGTAACTCTCCTTTAAAAAATTCAATGGTTTTGTACTTTATATGGACGGCTAGATTGGCAGAGATTGCCGTGACAAAAAAGGTTCACAGAATCACAATATCTGGCCATCATAGAAGTAAACCTCAAATTGATGCATAACATTACATTTGTAGTCAGGATAAGAATAATTAAGCATATTATCCTATATATGTAGGTAGCATGTACTTACTGTACGCCGACAGAGCAATGAAAAAAATAATGAATTTTTTTGCTGACATTGTAGATTTTTAAGCTAGGGTTATCAGACAGCTTCAATGAATGAAAAAATAACGAAATTTTCCGATATCACGTTAGCTAACGATTTCGTTAGACTATTCTACCCTGCAAGCGCAAGTAGAAAATAATTGATGAATTCGCACCAGAAAATTAAACTTGTACAAACAGAGCCACAAGCACTTGTACTAATTAGTCTAACTTGTTACTGACTACAAACTACTAAAAAAATTACAGGTTACTTATCACGACATTTATGTGTAATCTACTGTTAAAAAATCCATTACCCCTGATACCCAATAGCTTAATAGTCTACTGTTCTTTCATCCGCAATATATGATGCTAACAAATTGTAATGAAAAGCTATCAACGGATGATATCAACACTGATCCCTCATTCACGGACGGGGGAGCAAATTATTGTCTACCTTATCAGCAATCTTCTACAATCACAAAAAAAATCCTTCACAAAAAGATACGTACCATTTCACAACTAAAGACACTGCACACTGGTCCATGGCCCGCAACAATGATCTATACCATTAAATGATCTTAACAATGATCTATAACACACCTTAGCTGAACCCATGAATAATCAGCCACCATCTGCTACAAAAATGGATTGTTCGAATCATAATTTAGCGGAGAATTTAAAGCAAATAAAATAAAATAAAAATTCATCATATTTTAGCAAAAATTGGTTTCGAAAATTCTAAAATCCAAGTGCAATCCGTTATCACAGTGGGTCAATTAATAATATAAAAGTTGAAACCTAAATCGGCAAATAAAAGACATGACAACAAGAAGAGAAATAAATCCAGAACAATGTTGCCAATATTCTATAATTGATTCGTCGATGCCACATATTCAATTTTGAAGCATACGTCCTTAGACGTATTACGTGTCATGTTAACCTTTCCTTTTATTACACAAGCTTGCAACATAACTTCATCAAGTTCACTATGGAGATTGAGTCTCACAATAATTTGTCTTTTCTCGATTGAACTGAACAAGCAACTGGACAAACAAGTGTTATGGCCGTTTGAGCACCAGGTTCTTTAGCGTTAGCGTATTTTTTCCAATGTGAATGAAATCTGAACCTTAATGTACCAGTTTTTTTTACATTCCATGCAGTACACTTTGAATTTGAACTTAAGCGTAATATCTTCATTACCTAAATTAAGAAATTCATGTCTCGGTGAGACAAAGAAGTTGTTCCTGAGTGTGATAACAGCGCGATTTTCTCTGCTTTTAAATTTTTTTTCTTTTCCGAAAAATATTTACAATCCATTAAAGCCATCAATGATCAACCTTTAATTGATTATAGTTAAGTGTTTTTCCGATTAACTTTAGGGTAACAACACATTCAGCGTTGACGTCTTCTGCGTCTTTTCAAAATACTAATTCTAAGTTACTTATATAACATTGTTGAATTACAATAAAAAATGAAAATAAAAAAGAACGAGATCATAATCACGGTCATTTTGACCTCCGTCTTTTCTGAAGTGAATGAGGCAGTATCATGAGAGTGCAAGTGTTCGCGGAGGTATTATAGGCACTTGAAATGCATAAATACCTACGAATTACTAACTATTATTGCAAATTGTATTTATAAATCGGTACCACTAATTCATGGCTATTTGGATATCCGCTTGTGTCATATAGGACGCTTTTATCGAGGTTTCGATGTAACAAATGATAAATAGAGATTAACAGAGAAGGATAAATGATAAATTTCAACAAATTATTTTCGCTCCCTAAACGTTGGACACTGACAATTGAACTTCTCTACTGCGGATGTGCCTCCCTTTACTCAAAAAGAAACACTCGTTCATGCATTGAACAATGCTTATTCATTATTCATACATGGCTTCTTTCTGCGCACTGCACGGCACTGTGAAGTCACGCGGGACTGCCGAGAACTGCGAGGCTGCCGGCGGGATATCTTCATTATCAAACACAGTGACTGATTGCATGGTGACGTGCCGCTGTTATGATTATTTCTTCTCAGATTGCAAGGAATTTTTTCTCACGAGATAAATGCGGAAAATGTTTTTCGGGAGGAATCAATACATTGAAGTTTGAGGACGGGTCAAACGTTGTGATTACCTGAGGTAGTGTAAAAAATTAATACGCAGTGACATTTCATCGCAATTTAGAGAAAAATCGGCATTGTATTTTAACATTGATTGCATCGTATTTTAGCACCGGATGTTGAGGAGTCTCACGGTAACTTCATTGCTCAATCGAATGACCGCGCCGCACTCACTGGCGGCTTAGTAGCGAACTCAAACAAAACGATCGGGACAGTGCAGTGCTGCTATCTAACACATCTCTTGTATATTTCACACGCGATAAATTGTCATGCAATTGATCAGTATTCTCAATAACTCGATAATGTGTAGCAACTGCGCACAATCAGATTCATCTCAATAATGTGTAGCAACTTTTCCATCTGATTGACCTCGCCAAATTGTTTTCTTTGGAAACCATACTTGAACAATTTGAATGTCAACCCTGGAAATATGCAAAGTTTATAGGTTCTTCTTAATATATCTATGCTAATTAGTATTAATAAGTGAGCAGCGACTACTTTGTTTGGCTACGCAGCCTTGTTCGAAAATTTAAACTGAATAATGTCCCATGAAGGCAACGCCCAGTCTACTCTAGGCATGCAATAACTACGCACAGCTTCAGATATAGGAGTTGGCAGCTGTTAGCTGAACACGCTATAGGGCTTCTCAGACTAGACCAGCTCCGCAATGCATATATTATTAATAGCGCCGGAACTATGTATTATGTAAATCTGGTAGGATGTAAGATGCGGGCTTCTCAGTTTGATCTGCCGTTGTCTCAAATTGAAAGGCATCAAGTTAGCTCATTTCCAAATTTGTTGTTGGTGTGCAGGCTTGCAGCGAAGTACAGTTTTTTTTTTCAAACCTACGAGTTCAAGTGAGATATTGCAGCTGGAGTCAGGAAAGAGCAGGATTAGTCAAGTATTACCGCCTTGTACAACTGGCGACGAGTTGTGGCATCAGCTCCCCACCGTCGCAGCAAGAACTCGCGGCAGGTGTAGGTCTGCCGGGCACCCGAAGGCCAGGCTCGCTATATGAGAGTGCCCTAATTCAGTTTTCGATCAAATAGAACTCCAAGGAAACGATATGAGTTCATAAAGTTATATCCAACTTACTCCGCTGTAAGTTGGATATGAGTTTGGAGCCCATCCTTCTTAGTGAGTGATAAGAGAAAGCAAGGCCAGGACGTCTCTCAGAAAACACTAAACAGGCCCTACTATCATCCATGACAAATACGGTCATCTTCTGTAAGATGCCTCCATGGTAGACGACGTCAAATGCATGGACGACTGCAGCGTATTCACTGTTAGTTATAAATTCTATAACTGTGGACTCTATACTGAAGGGGGTTTGTTGTTGTTGTTGTTTATTGCGTCCGTCACGCTCGCCGAGGGGGGGGTGGCTCAGGTGGTGGGCGGAGGGCAAGCACCGGAAGAGGGGGGAGATGGGCGAAGGCAGGGCGGGTGTCCAGGAATGCCGCTGCCTCCACGGGGCTGTCCCACAGTGAGGAGACGCTGAGAGACGTGGGGAAGGCGGGTCAGATTAAGAGGTGCTGAACGGACTGGAGGGGATCCCCGCACTCCGGGCAGGCGGAGCTGGGGGAGCGTCCGATCCTAGCGGAGTAGGACGCCAGGGAGCTGCAGTATCCCGAACGAAGCTGGGATAGCGCCGAGCGGTAGGGGGCGAGGAAGTGAGGCCTCCACCGATGCGATCGGCGGTGGCGGAGCTGCGGGGATGGCGTTTATAGCGTCAGTCACCGCAACGCGGGAGGTTATCTCCCTGCGGAGAAACCGCTTGGCCTCTCCGTATGCCCCGGCAGGTAAGATACCATTTGCCAAGAGTGTTGTGACAAGGTGGCCGAACCTCGACTGGATGGAGGCTTTCATAGGGCGGTCCCGAGAGGGGCGGAAACCATGCGAAATGAGGTATGGGAGGGCGCTGGCGAGGAACTGGGCACAAGCCAGGTCCAGGTGCACGGACAAAGGGGGGACGCCGGTCTCCTGGGGAAGATGGGCGATAGGGGCCATTTTGAGGCAGCCGGTGACTAGTCTCAAAGCAGTGTTTTGTATTGATTGCAGACTGGCAGTTACTGTGCGTGAGGCGACAGTGTACCAGATGGGGGCCGCGTAGTTGAGAGAAGCCTTCTCCTCCTTCTCCTCCTTGGAGAAGCCCCAATTGGTGCCATGGAGCAAGGGCTTTTAAGATGCGGAGAGAACCCGTCGCTTTCGTGGCTACGGCTCTTGTATGAGGGGAGAAAGTGAAGTGCGTATCCCAGGTGACGCCTAGGGTTTTGGGAGTTTTATCCAGGGGGATAATGCCGTTGCAGACAGTGGCAGATGGGTGGTATCGAGATTGGTGCGTATCTGGAGTGAAGAGCGTGACCGAGGAATGCCAGGAGCCACGGCCAGTTTCTTGTTAGCGGACCAACCTGAGCCGCTGCGAAGGAGCAAGGCGAGCTCAGCCTCCGCAGCGTCGAGCTCGGGGACGACACGAAAATGGTAAGGTCGTCGGCGTATGAGGCAATGTTGGGGATCGGCACTGGGATGTCGGAGATGAAGTGGTTAAAGAGGGCCAGCGAGATGACCGAGCCCTGGGGAACGCCCGAGTGGATGGCTCTGAAATGTGATTGAGTTCTGAGTTAGAGGCAAGATGCCTGCCTGCCTCGGAGGTCAGCGGTCCAGCGGACCAGGTCAGCGGACCAGGTTGTGATGTAGGTCCGAGGCCGCGATCAGGCTTAGGAGGAGAGGGTGGTCGATTCTGTCGAATGCCGCGGCGACTGTGCGGGCTGGAGGGCGCCGAGATTTAAAACCCGTCGTAATCTGGTGCGCGAGCGGGAGGAGGGCGGTGACAGTGGAGTGTCCCGGTTTGAAACCATGTTGCTAGGGGACGGTAGTGAGGGATCCTAAGATGTAGGGGAGCACGACTCTCTTTGATCTTGGCTACAGGGCAAAGGAGGGAGATAGGGTTGTATGAAGAGCCCTGGTTTCCGGGTTCCCCCTGTTTGAGGATTGGAATAATTATTTAATTTTTCCAAATGGATGGGATAGAGCCTGTGGAGACGGAGATGTTAAAAATACGGGTGATGAACTGGATACCACGTGGGCCGAGGTGCTTAAAATGAAGGACCGTGAGGCCGTCTGGGGGGAGGAGGGTCTGGCTGGGAACGGGTCAGACCGTCTGCACGTATTGCAGATCCAATCTTCGGAGTAGAGACTAATGGAGCGCAGTCGGGAGCATCGCTTGTGGGTCCAGGCATTACAACTGGAGCACCGAAACGAATATCTTCGCCGCGTAACTGGGAGGGAGCAGACTGAGCAGGGGTGCGGGCCAGGGTTGGGATGGATACCCCTGGGTCCGGAGAAGAAGAACGAGTAGGAAGAAAAGATGGGAGGAGAGAAGGACATAAGGAGCTCCAGGAAAGATAGGCGGTCAAAGATGTAGGAAGGGGGAAGGCGAGGCCGAGGCTCCCTTACCCTTAGGAGAAAAAATGAAGGAGCCGCCGTCCGGTAGCGATCCGGGCGGGGAGCCTCTGCCGTTTGGCCTGAACCATGTTAATGCCGGGTCCGGCCGACGCGCAGGCCAGGGTACCCCCACGACGTAGACGCGGCAGAGATCGGGGGCCTGAAGGGGGTAACAAGAGTGTGGCGCCCAGTGCGTGAACCACTCGACAAGGGTCAAAGAACGCGCATCTGCGCAGATAGGCTTGAATGCTCAATTTTACCATTTTTCATTAAATTGCAGGGGCAGTAAGTTAAGTGCGATAAAGCAGTTGGAGGCGACTGAGGTTATAGGCTGGCCACGCAAGGAATGGGGACGAAAATATAATCTTTCTTATTGCAGTGGAATCATGTTGTAGTGATATAGCTGTTGAGTAATGTAGGATTTTGGAAGGAGACTTCCAAAGTGTGAGAAGTGAACAGTTTTGCTTTGGATACCTTGACGAAGACGACTTTAGTGAACGAGATCATTCTTCCAAAGGGAAATTTTTGTTGTAATATTCAAAGTGACTAATGTGGTTGTTTCGGGCAGCTTGATATGCAGAAAATGCTGAACCATGCGCTTGAGTTTTGTTTCTCTTGCTTTAATTGAGAATTTAATGACGCAAAAAAGTTTTAATACTTCTAAAGAATCGTAGTCAGAGTGCGGCGAAATCTGAGAGCGAGATTTTCACGACCATCGTGTGAAATCATCGATCTGCTTCAAGGTCGTGCCCTCGATGCTTGTAGTAGCATCAATCTGCTACCCTCGATCTTGTAGTCTTTGTAATATGATATCCTACCAGCCTCTTTTTTGCGGCAACTGGCGGCTTTTAGGTGGCCGAGGAATGGCCAGCAATCGGGGGTCACCTGCCGAAGACCACAACTGCCCTGGATGTAATGGACCATCATGATTCCTGCCTTCCGGAACGTAGTTCGATTAAAGGCTTATTGGTGCACAAAATTGGTGGTGCACGGCTGCGCGCGCGTTCGAAGCCTCACGGTTCTCAATCAGAGCCGTAAATGAGATGGTAAAATGAATTTTTCCGGGCTTAACCAGCTAGTTATTTACAAAACGAAAGACAGTAATGAAAAAAAATAAGTGAACTTTGTTTAAAATGAGTTATGATAAAAGAACTTTTGAATATTAATGTTCATCAAATCTACGACTTCTACACTTTTTCGAAATGTTAACGGGTTGTAGTTTTTATTCTCTTGTGAATGGTATTATCTCAATTTTTGATCAGCCTCCTTGTTGTAGATATTATCTACCAAAAACTAGTTATGGAGAAGCATGCTGATACGTGGAGTGAAAAGTCCGTACATTAACTGAAAAGATGGGAAGCGCAGCCGTGCACCACCAATTTTGTGCACCAATAAGCCCTGAATCGGACGCCTTGGATCTCTCCGGACATCCACCAATCAGACGTGCACCACTTGGATTTGTCCTCCTCCGGCCTTGACCACCACCTGCCGTGCACCACCAGGCCGCGGATCGAATCTGACTTCCGGGCATCGTTAAATTACGTAATTTTACGTTCAACGCATCTGAGGTTAGGTTTCAGATAGCATAGTTCTCTTCCAAAATTTATCGTCCTTCGACAAGTTGCCGTTCGACCGAGGGCTGGTTCGACCCGCGGCATAGATACGGACGGCTTAAACTGTTGAAGGCTACGTTCCGGAAGGCAGGAATCATGATGGTCCATTACATCCAGGGCAGTGGTGGTCTACGGCAGGCGACCTTCTTCGGACAGGCTGGTTTCTTCTCTACGAGTTTTTTCTGGACTTTACTCCACTCGGAAATGAGATGGCGATATGAATTTTTCCATGCCTACCCGGCTATTTATTTATAAACGGTAGGACAGGGACAAAAAATATGTAAACTCTGAGTTAAAAGACTTATAATGAAAGGAAATTTCGAGAAACACTGAATATTAATTGTTCATCAAGTCTGCGACTTTTACACTTTTTAGCGCATTTCTCATTTACGGAAAAAATGCTCTATTGTGCTCGCCAGGTCCGTCCGAGTCCGTCACTCCCTCCGTCTGACGGTCTGTAGGTCTGTCTGTACATCCATGACTTCACGTTACCGTCGACGAGAATTTGCGCTCTCTGTCACTCACTGCAGTGAGTAGCTACTGAGTTATATATTTTTTAGATGTCAACGGGTTGTAATTTTAATTTTACAGGGTCCGCCATATTTATGGCAAGTTTTGGCAACAGATGTTTGCTATAAAAAAATTAATTGTTTTCTAGGAGACTTTTCTTTTATAATGAAGCTTAATATCATCTATTAATTCATCTATTTTATATTGCAGAAGCCTAGCCTAAGGTGTCTAAATTTACTATTACTTATGCTTATGGCAGTAGATAGAAATGCAATTGTAACCCTTCATGAAATCCTAGGCCCTACTCCTAGCCTATACGTAGACCATAGACATAGGCATGGTACCTAATACTAATAGTATAACTGTAGGAGTGTAGGTACCTAGTTAGTATACCTAAGTACTGTCAAAGTGTCAATCCTATAATTGTACCAAGTACCATGATTTGCCAAATAGGATTGATAAACATAATAATAATATAATAATAGCGGTTTCAGCATTTATTAGGCCGTAGGCCTGTCGCCGGTTCTTGGTTCTTAACATCGCAGAACATTTGCAGCATTTTGCGGTCTCGAACTTGCAACTCACTGCTACAATTCTGCTGTGCTTAACCGCCCGGCCTCCTTGCCAATTCTGACCAGAAACTGGCACACAGAATGTACATCCATGACTTCACGTTACCGTCGACGAGAATTTGCGCTCTCTGTCACTCACTGCAGTGAGTAGCTACTGAGTTATATATTTTTTAGATGTCAACGGGTTGTAATTTTAATTTTACAGGGTCCGCCATATTTATGGCAAGTTTTGGCAACAGATGTTTGCTATAAAAAAATTAATTGTTTTCTAGGAGACTTTTCTTTTATAATGAAGCTTAATATCATCTATTAATTCATCTATTTTATATTGCAGAAGCCTAGCCTAAGGTGTCTAAATTTACTATTACTTATGCTTATGGCAGTAGATAGAAATGCAATTGTAACCCTTCATGAAATCCTAGGCCCTACTCCTAGCCTATACGTAGACCATAGACATAGGCATGGTACCTAATACTAATAGTATAACTGTAGGTACCTAGTTAGTATACCTAAGTACTGTCAAAGTGTCAATCCTATAATTGTACCAAGTACCATGATTTGCCAAATTGGATTGATAAACATAATAATAATATAATAATAGCGGTTTCAGCATTTATTAGGCCGTAGGCCTGTCGCCGGTTCTTGGTTCTTAACATCGCAGAACATTCGCAGCATTTTGCGGTCTCGAACTTGCAACTCACTGCTACAATTCTGCTGTGCTTAACCGCCCGGCCTCCTTGCCAATTCTGACCAGAAACTGGCACACAGAGGCCAGAGCTGGGATCAAACCCGCGCCTCTCTGCGCCAATCTTGGTACTCTGAACTCTAACCACTGGGCCACCCTGCCCAGTTGATATCATTGATTGTTGTCCAAACTCCAACTATTGAATGGCAATGAAGATGATATTGCTTTTTTTTGCTTTTGAAGATATTGCTTTTGAAGATGATATTTGCAAATGACGGCCATAGGGTAAACGCGGTATATTCCGACATCGTAGGTAATTCCGTCACCTCTCAAGCTTTTCCTTTATATTAAGCTTTGTTTTAGTTCCATGCGTTTGTTGATGGTTGAAATGGTGACGTCATGCATTTGCGAGTCAAAATACTGCCAAAACACTAGGTCTTGGCCATCTAGTGGGAAAATATTGATATCCAAAGAGAGACAATGCATGCCACGTGGTGAGATTATTGAAAAATGTGTCAAATTTGACAGTTGACATGGCTCTACCAAATAGTGAATAACTGTTTTTATAGGAAGAATATTATGGTTTTAGACTTTTAAATACGTCTGTGAATATATTAGGAATCCTTTAAGTATACTTGTATTCGCTGATATCAAGTCGTAAATAAATTAATAGATGATTAAGTTAAGATGTTGGATTTAGACACATAAAAACTAATTCCGACACAACTTGAATTGGACACACACAGATCGTTCAAAGCTTTGTACAAAATTTGAAATTTGCTTAATTAAAAGCCTGATAGCTGTTAATTAAAATGTAATTAAGTAGTGTTCAATATTCGTTAGTGTTCTAATTCAAAGCCGTGTTGTATCCCAATACAGCTCACACAGCAAACGGAATTCAAACACGTGGATGTCGGCAATACGTATCAGTTAAATTTGAAGCGCTGACGCAATACAACTCACCACATGTCAAATATTGCCACACAAAGTGATGGAATATAGGGATTTGGTAGGTTTCCATTCTAAAGGCTTTTTAACAAATATGGCAACATTTTGTGACGTTTCATCATTGCTGACGCGTAGTGAAGTGTTTTGAGAGTCATGTGAAGGCAACAGAACTTACGTAACGCATACGGTTTTTTTATAGTTTTTCATTTCTCGATGTGTCCTTAATGTGTCGGAATATACCGCGTTTACCCTAGTGGCAAAGCAGAGAGTTTTTTAGACTCTCCCTCAAGTTCATTTTTGAGTCTTATAAGTAGCCAGTAGAGTATCCTGGATACCAGCTTTATCATACTTAAGAAATTGTTTTAAATCTTGAGTAATTGAGGAAATTAAAATTGAACTGATTCTAAAAAAGCTCTGGTTTGCCACTATACCGCGTCGTAAATTTTACGATGCGGTATATTCCGACACTTCTCAACTTTTTTCCTTTATATTGAGCTTTGTCTTAGTTCCACACATTTGTTGATGGTTGAAATAGTGACTGTAAGTGATGTCATACTATTGCCAAAACACTAGGTCTGGGCCATCTGGCGGGAAAATGTTAAGATCCAAAGAGAGACAATGCTCATCACCCAGTGACTGGGTGAGAACATCAAAAAATGTGGCAAAATTGATAGTTGACCTTGCTCTACCAAGTACCAAATAGTGATAAACTGTTTGTGTAGAAAGAATATTATGGTTTGAGACTTTTAAACAAGTCTGTGAATATATTAGGAATCCTTTAAGTATACTTCTATTTGCTGATTTCAAGTGGTAAATAAATTAATAGATGATTAAGTTGAGCAACAGTTTTAGACATATAAAAACTAATTCTGACACAGCTTGGAATTAGACACACACAGCTTGTTCTGAGCTGTGTCCAAAAATTATAATTTTCTTAAGTAAAAGCTTAATAGCTCTTAATTAAAAGCTTAATTAAAAAATTGCAATTTTTTAATTAAGCTTGTTCTGAGCTGTGTGCCTGTGTCGTACTCCGATACAGCTTACACAGCACACAGGGCATTGGAATTCCAACACAGGGCGCCAGATAGACAAATTAATAGAGTTTGAAACACTGCCAGAATTAGTCTCACAATATGCCTAATTTAGATGCACATAGCGTCGAATTCAGGGATTTTGTAGGTGGCTAAAATGAGAAAGTGCAGAGATGTACCATATACATCACTAAAAGTGTACTTGAATTCTAAAGGTTTTTAAATAAATATGGCAACAGTTTGTGATGTTTCATTGTTGCTGGTGCGTAGTGTGGTGTTTTGTGTTTTGAGAGTGACGTAAACCAATCAGAACTCTAGTTGCGCATACGGTGGTATTTTTATAGCCATTCATTTCTTGCTACGTCCTTAATGTGTCGGAATATACCGCATTTACCCTAAGTGCTCAAAAACCAAATCAAGGAAGTATTGTTATGAAATCATCACTCCTGTTGATATTGAAGCTGACATTACTGCTATGGAGACTGGAGAGGAGAGTTCAAGTGGATGGTCCTAGTAAACTTGTGAAAATTAAAAGACTAAGCAGAAACCTAGAAAAAAAGCGCATGCCTTCTTCTTCAATTAGGGTGGTTTTTGAGGGCAGAGAGCTCCCTGATAAAATGAAAATTGGATGACTTACCTACTCTGTGTGCCCTTTCTCTTTTCTTCCACTGCAATGCTACTGTTTTCAATGATATGGTCTCTCAGCAGATGACTATACCAGTAAAAGGAGATGTCTTGTATGTGCTGGGAACATCACAATAGGTAATGCACAAGCAGCCAAAATGTGCCAACTATGGTGAACCGCATAAAGCCAACATCCCCGAGTGTGATAGGGTCCCAGGGCATGCATGACAACTGAGATCTAATAATAGAAATAATGTTTGTACTAATTTTACATGCTGCGGCTAAAGAAGTGATATGAAGCACCATCCATCTCAGGGTGGTATGCATAGTCAGTTAGTCACTTGACAAACTTGAAAAATGCATTTACAGATCTGCCAAAAAATTCACGTTTTGAGAGTGGACATGGGCAGGGATTACGGTGATGTGTATACAATAAACTTAATATGAGAGTGTCAGCTAATGTCCACCATCAATTGAGTAGTCCAGTTCAGGGATTCACCTCTTCATTGTATAGACCAGTTGTTTAAAGCCAGCCCTTGGTGGATAAATCTAATTGCACTACTAACTACAACTCAGCTCCTTATTTTGCAGCTTGTGAACCAAAGGCTTTTGCTCCTCCTGTTGAATTTCTTTCCTGCCTGGTGGGTTGTTTGATATATTTGTTTCCTCTCCATTTACATAAGAAATCTCCTTCTAATACTTGCTTTTTGACAAATCATGCCATTCAAAAGCAGGAAATCTGAATCTGCATGTGATCTATTATTGCAATCCATCACACTTGGGCATGAGCGGAATTCTGTGATGTTTCTGAACTCTGAAGGTATACTACTGATTGTATTTAGTCTCAGAACTATTCTAAATAATTGGAAAATTAATCAATTCTGTTCACTACATTTATTTATTGATTCTGTCTACTAATGTATCTCACTCCTATGTCTTTTGATTTTTTGTAGTTTCAGAAAACTTGTACTAGAAGCTTAAATTTATTACAGGTGCAAGAAGTCATATATAAGTCATACAGCATGGCTGACAAAACTCAACCTGACATTGAGATCAAAAGAGTGAGTATTGGTAATCATTCTCAATGACACTTATTTTTTGTTTTACTAATGCTCCCAACTGACTGATTTCATGGTGCTAACTTGTGAATATCCTTAGCTTCTATTATTCTCAAACAAGAGAAGTAGAGGCCTTTATTGATGAAACACTGTTGCTTCTGCAGACTTTTACTTATTTACTTGATTGACCAATTCATGTATCAATTTCGGATGTTTTATTTAGCACTAAAGATAGACAATTGATTTGTATTAACATGTGTTTCAGGCCTTTGTTGAGCTGCAGACTCAAATGAACGAGACCAACCAGAAGTTACGAATTGCAGATGTGCAAGTTGAGGGACTCAAGAAACTCATCATCCACTCTCAGCTCACTGACACTGAAATTCAGGTGTGTAGATTCTGGATAGAGGAGCTTTGCAGTTTAAATGGATATGGAAATTCATGTGAAATAGAGTTGATTGCTGGTGATTAGGTCAGAACTGTTTGGCTTTTATACAAAAAACTAATTGGACTCCTATCTCTTACTCATCAATATATTCCATTTATAAAATTTACCTATTTTATGAAAATGCAATATTTTTCTTCAATGCTGTTAAGTATGTGTAGTGAAATTAAGTGTAGATAGCTCAATGATGCTCAGTAATGCGCATTTGGTGTGCATTGTCATCCTCAAATCTTAAATTTCTTCCGTTTTGAAGAAAACAAGAATCAAACATTAAATTGAAGTAAAGCAATGAAACCCAATTATGTTTAAATAATTCTTTCATTAATTCTACTTTAAGGTGTTGACAAAACATTTCATTTGTTTAGACGATGCTAATTGTGAATATTTCAGAACCTTGGGAGCAGCGTACGCGTCTTTGAAAGTGTTGGCAGGATGTTCTTGCTTACAGACATCGCTGAAGTTCGCAAAAATCTTGCCAGTAAAGTAGAAAAAAGTCAGGAAAAGATCAAATCATTACAGGTAAGTTCCGTCTTCTATTAGAAAATACTCTGAGAATTTAATAAAAGAGAAATGGGTTCAAGCCTGTAAAATATTTTAATGAAAGCAAAGTTAATGTTCATCATCATTTCAAAGATCCTAAATACAATATTGTCAATTTTTATCACTAAATTTATGCAGAAGTGATTAAAACTTTATGTGATGTACCTATATAAGTCACAGTAGCGAGAAAAATTGATGACAAATTTCATGCTGATATGATATTATAAGCATTTAAGAACATGATTACCACAGTAAAATTTGCAGGTATGAACAACACTCAGTAATACCGTAGTTCTTACCCACTTGAAATTCTTCTTAGGATTTTTACCTTACTTAGCTTAATTTTGGATTCAGTAAACCTTGTAAATTTATTGATATTAACTAGCATGCTTTTAACATAACAAATTTCAACTTATGATGAAGTTAATCTCGTCTTATCAAATGAATACAAACTAGTAAATTTTCTAGGTATTTCCTTTGCAGTTTTTGTCTCTAATAATATATTCATCAAAATTTTTGTTGGCAGAGCAATAAGGAGTATCTGGAGAAGAGCCTCCAGGAGAGCCAAAACAACCTGCGCGAGATGATCAAGTTGAAGCAGCAAACCGCCTCTTAATATGCGTTAATATTGCTATGCGATCTGCTCGTGAGCTCATTGGTCTTGCTTGCTAGCCTTGTAGTTGTAACTTTACGTTCTTCTGAACTTCCAAGTCGCGAGCGTTAAGATTACTTAGAATGTGACTGCTTTATTACTTTAGATTCTTATATAGTGACTCATCATCCTTAGTTAAAGGCACTAACTTATCACTAATCTATCGTAATATAATTTTTTACCATGATGAAATCAGAAAATGTGTTTGTTAGAGAACTTGAGTGAGACATCATCAAATTTGTTGTCAACGCCAGAGCAGTTTTTTTAAAGTTTGAATTGGATATAAATATTCAAGGCGCAATTTTATTCATGAGAAGTCGAGTGGCACATATCCAAGGCACAAGTCTGAAAGATATACGAATCGTATCTTCTTTGCAAGAAAATAAAAGAAAATGTAAATTTCAATCAACTCGTCAACGGCAAATCCATATGCTTAGTGCGAAGGGATCGTGACATTTGACTGTTTATACATCGTATACTTCATACTGTCTCCCACGATTTATCTCGATTTGATGATACCCTTTTTTGTTATTTATGCACAATACAATAAACTTTATCAGGAGAAGATATCGTCAGGCTTTCTTGAATAACCCTACCCCATCCCTTAGACAACTCGTGTGGCTGACAAAATGGAATAGAATGCATCAGGATTAAAAGTGATATCTCCGTGAATAGGTATATCATCAGCAGCAGGTTTCTGAAAGGAAATGAATATAAATGAGAATAAAGTAAAAATGTAATAAATCGTTTACTGACAGATTTTCCATGAGGCCATTCCCGAGAAGAATGGCTAATAAATGCATTTTTCAATACATGAGTTAATGAAACGTTATATTGAGCTACTGTAAATAAGCTAATATACTGTTAAGTACAGATTCTGGAAAATGGGTCCGTTGCAAACTAAGCTTGATGGAGAGTATTTAGATATCATTATACCCAGTTACGTGATACCCACACATGTAGCCATGATGTAAACATTCATGTTGTGAACCGTGTAGTAGTGAAGTACTGCAGGCAATATCAGAAATCTCGAAATGCATATGCCATGGCAGGTGTCAGAAGGGCAATGACGTTTCATCACATTTTCATGTTATGTGGCATACAATGGGTTTGTAAAAATTTTTATAATCTACGGAAAGCATTTTTAAGATTCTAAGTTAATAGCCAAATAGATTTTTTGTTAAATTATATCTTGTAGCGGGTAGCCTAGTTAGCATAATAGCATGGAACATAATCAACATATCAACTTGTATGTTGTACATGTTGAGGTATTATTGCAGATTAACTACATCCAAAAAAAAGGGTGTTTTTTTTTAATTATATGTTTTTTGGGGTGTAGATTACGAATCTGAAATCCATTTTTGGCGGTCGGCATCGGAAAACCGATTTTTTTCCGACCCAAAAATCAATTTCAGATTCGTAATCTACACCCCAAAAAACATATAATTAAAAAAAAAAACACCCTTTTTTTTGGATGTAGTTAATCTGCAATAATACCCATGTTGAACTTGAATCTTGCATAGTGGCAACTGGCAAACCAGTGATTTTCTAGAATCAGTTCATTTCTAATTTTCTCATTTATTCGAGATTTAAAGCAATATCTCATGTATGACTATGATGATGCAGAATTCAGGGTGGAATTCTAGAAATGGAGGTTCACTTATAAAAAAGCTTTCCACTCAAGGTGGAATGCTTTCCCTAGATACAGTGCTCTGCAGTCTGTCAGGTGAGTGACTATAAATGAAAAGGAGGATCAAAAGTGGACAAACTGTTTCTATTGTATTATTTATTTGTATAGTACCTCAGATTTGCTATGAAATTATTTGAATGTCTCTTTTTTTGATAGATATTTTCTATTTTTCTTTTATTTAATGGATTTTTTGAAAATTTCCCAGGTTTTTTGTTTGTAATGATCAAGTTTAAGTTAAGTAGGTGCCTATTAAGTTAACCAGTACTGTAGTACATACCATGGTCAGGAAGATGTGCCAGGTGCGCGGGAATTTATTTTGTCATTTTAACGACCTGCGCAGTCGCAGTGCGCCGTACTATGCTGGTAAAAAAAGGCGCCGTGCGCCGTACTTTAGAAAGCTAAAATAGTTCTACCATTTTAGTCGACAATATACGCAAGTATATTGACTACGCGAGTCGAACTGACAATAATAAAGAAAGCAGATAACATTACAATTCCATTAACCAATCACAGCTAGAAAGCTGATAACATTACAATTCCATTAACCAATCACAGCTAGAAAGCAGATAACATTACAATTCCATTAACCAATCACAGCTGGAAAGCAGGAAGGGGGCTAAAATCACAATCCCATCAACCAATCACAGCTGAAAAGTGATAGGATTTGTATAATGTATATAATATAATGGACTGAAAGTGGAAAGTTCCTGGCCTTTCCAAGCTTTCAGGTCCTGCTTTCCAATATGCTATGTGTACTGGTTAATTTAATATCCCTTAAGAATTCCACACTGAATTATTAATGATGCTGGTAAACATTATACTTTACTGGTTTACTTATAGGACTTAAAATTGAATTTGAAAGACAGAAGGAGACTAGGAGAGTCTAAAAACACTCTGCTTTCTGCTTTGCCACTATTGAGAGTTGAGTATTTGACAATCAGGAAATAGGAAAATGGTCAGTTTACTCAGTTACCTTCAAACAGGGTAAAAAAGGACAGGTGGGGACTGGGGACTGCGGGGTTAGGTATAAGGGACAGTCCTCCAACATTTTGTAGAAATGCTGTAGCAGCTAAACTAATTAAAATATTTCAAAACTAAAAATAGTGGTGTAAAGTTCAACATTTTTACTACTATCTCTATGCCGCATAAAGCAAGTAGAGAAATCATACATTTATTAGTATTACCTCTGAAAAATCCGTGAAAAAAGTGTGAAAAGTGAGATTTTGGAAAAGTACCTCTGCTAAGGTCTGTAGCAGAAAAATATTTGTTGTATTCCAAAATTTTAGGATGAACACACCATATTCCAACACTTAAAGGACATAGCAAGAAATGAATGGCTATAAAAAGATCACTGTATGGCGTATGTGCAACTCAAGTTCTGATTGCTTTACGTCACTCTCAAAACACTACACTATGCGCCAGCAACAATGAAACGTCACAAACTGTTGCCATATTTATTTAAGGGGGAGGTATACCCTCCGGAAAAACTTTTTTGTTTACAGACGGATCACTCTGAAACTTGGTACACATATGTAAAATTGAATTCTAATACATTTTTGTTTGTGTAATTTTCTCGGAAAAATTGATAGAAAACATGAAATTCATAGAAAACGGACAAAAAAGGGGTACTATGGAAAAGCCTGCTCCTCCTAGAGTTTTGAAGCTACAGCGATGAGACATGTACCATTCCATTCGTAAAGACCATGTCAATCAAGTAACGAAGCCTGATTTTTTATTTTTGCCTCGTTTTTTTTACATGCATTTAAAATTTTTTTCATTTCTTCTCATTCCCCCCCCCCTCCCCTCCCATTTTGAATCCAAACTATGCACAAATCTAAAAAAGGGCTTCATTACTTGATAGGTATGGTCTTTACGAATAGAATGCTATATGTCTCATTGCTGTAGCTTCAAAACTCTAGGAGTAGGCTTTTCCGTGACAAAAAATTGAACTTTTCAGGACAGCGCGACAAAGTTCCGTGCGCCTTGAAATAGTCACTCAATGCAGCATAGAGACCAAACTACAGGCTTCTGTGGCCTAATTCCACTCAGGGATGGTAGCAGTGACTTGCAGCACACGTCTCCGTACGAAGCTAACAGGGTAACTGAGCCTTGATGCCAGATACACCAATATATGTAGTCTTAGCGACTGAATTACCTGCCATCTATTTTGTTAAGGAAATCCACCTCCCACCCCCCTTTAAAGCGCAGCCGTGTGTGTAAAAATTCACTTACAGCGGTCGCAGTAGTATCGTTGAAAAGCTCAGAATGTCAGCTTTAAGATGAGACTAAGCATGTAACTGCAGCACAACTCAAGTAGAAACTATATTTAAAATGCTCAGCAGCTAATTAACTTGTATCTAATTAGTGAAGGAACTCCCCCACCTGCCCCCCTTTAAAGTGATGTCATGTAAGTAAAAATTCACGTAGAGGGATCGCAGTGGTATCATTGGATAGGGCAGAATGTCAGCTTTAATACGATACTAAATACCAGAAAAGCCAAATCCGAAAATTTTAGAGTATACCTCCCCCTTGAAATCCTTTAGAATTCAAATCCACTAAATCCCTGAATTCCGACGCTGTGTGTGACTAAATTTGGCATATTGTGAGACTAATTCCGGCAGCACCTCAAACTCTTACTAATTCGTAATTCCAACACACTATGTTGGAATTCCAATGCCCTGTGTGAGCTGTATAGGAATACAGCACAGCTCAGAACGAGCTTAATTGAAAATTTTAATTTTTTAATTAAGCTTTTAATTAGGAAAATTTTAATTTTTGAACACAGCTCAGAACGAGCTGTGCGTGTCCAATTCCAAGCTGTGTCGGAATTAGTTTTTATGTGTCTAAAACCGTCTCTTAACATGATCATCTATTAATTTATTTACCACATAATATCAGCAAATACAAGTATACTTAAAGGATTTCTAATATATTCACAGACTTATTTAAAAGTCTCGAACCATAATATTCTTTCTACACAAACAGTTTATCACTATTTGGTAGAGCAAGGTCAACTATCAACTTAGACTGTGTTTGACACATGTTTCGATGTTCTCACTAGTTGACTTGGACTTTCGCTCTGAAGATCTTAACATTTTCCGCCAGACCTAGTGTTTTGCGGAAATATTGCGCGCAATGGTATGACGTCATTATTTCAACCATCTACGCAAGAGTGGAACTAAGACAAAGCTTAATTTAAAGGAAAAAGTTGAGAAGTATTGGAATTACCCACGATGTCAGAATATTGTGCGTTTACCCTACCTACATAAAAGTTGCACACTAGAGTTGGCTTAAAAATGTGATTGACAGAATTTGCATATCTCATTCCAAGAAAAAATTTTGGTCGTTTCCGCAAAACAGGGTAATAAGGGACACCCCTAAAATGCACTTACAGAACCATGGATAGCAAAGGCTCCAGTTAATGAAAAAATCAATTAACAACAAAGAATTTTGATTACATTTACCTCGCTCAGTGAAAATATTTCACTTAATGAAAAATTACTCCATCAGTCATCACAAAATTGTGCATAGAATGTCACAGATAGAATTGAGCACTGGGCAACAAAGAATGAAAAGTAATTACAGCAATCCCTTGATTAACGCGGTTCATAAATCCCCGAGTTTTACCGTGTTAAGCAAAACCGTGCTAATCAAACTTAAGAATATATGGGAATAATTACCTATAATGAATCCTCAAAAATAGCAAAGTTACATAATAATTTTTTTTCCACTAAAATTCATCACATTTTTTTCTAAATAATAGGGGAAAAAAATAAAAGAAATGCAAATGAATCCTCCAAAGCAAATCCTCCATTTCGATCATTATACAAGTCCTATTTCTAGTGCATTGCACGCTCGACGACGTAGAAGCAATTTTGCCTTTCTCTTGATACTCGGACGATTTTTTCAAAATCGTGCGTATTGTCGACTTGGGAAACCCTAGGTCTTCACCGATCTTCGTTTTACCATTATCAAAACACTTAATTATTTCAAGCTTAGTCTCCAAAATGATATTTTTATGTTTAAGCGTTCCCTTTTTGTCCATAATTATGATGGTAATTTATCAAGGAAAATTATGTAGTTTGATAAAAATGAGCAGTAGATATGGCAGCGATCTCGACCAGTTGAAGGCTAACGAGTAACTTGAGCACCGGCATGGCGCACTTACCGGCAAACGTTGCCAAACTTGACCATTCGAGTTATGAACGAGACAAGGCGCGGTTAAACCAACTCTGTAGTCAGCACGAGTGCCTACGGAATGGGACCTTATTTAAAGAATTATTGGCTGAAATTCATAAAGTAACAACATTTGGCGAATTTTTCCAAAAGTCGTAACAAAAGTAACAACATAAGATCTAATAAGCAAAAAGTAACACTTTTGTTATGACTTACGAATGTAACACCTCTGGCTAGAGGCGGGAAAATGATGCGTTGTGAAAAAAAAGTCACGCTAATTAAAACTGGCACCGCATAGAATAAGGGTAGGTCGCAAATTTTTTTTCCGCGTTAATCAAAACCGCGGTATTCAAAACCGTGCTAATCAAGGGATTGCTGTAACCTAAACTATGATTTATTTCTCCAAAAAATATGATGGTTGTCACTAAAATATTCCTTCCTGTTTCAGGTATGTTTTTTACAATCGTCTTTGTTATAGTGAAATCACTTGACTCGATTAAAATTGTGCAAAATTACATACCATCCTGTAAGCTTACAGATACAGAAGAAATGCTACATGGCTGCTGATATGAAGCTTGCAGTGGACAAAATTGTTGTCAATGCTCAATGGCATGTCCATAGATACAGTAATATCACATTAATAATACGGTAATGTATGTATAAGGTAAAATATCAATGAAACAAAAAACAAGTAAAAATCACAGAAAATTTCATTTATTCTACATTTACATCATCTATAAAGGAAAAGGAGGACTTCAGAGTACTGTTAGTAATAGACGAGTACACTCTGCATGCTTCAAATGTTTAAAATTGAGTTTTATTTCAAGTGTCCCTTTTTACCCCATTTCCAGATTGATTCAGGAGCCTTTTATACTGCATCTAGCACCTTACAAATAGCATATAGATTTTTTGTAGAGATGCCATACGATAGCCCTTGCAAAGACCTTTAAAATGAGCCCTAACTTGTTTATGAAATGTTTCATGGTAAGAAGTTATTAACAAAAAATGCTCAAAACCATCCCTTTTTACCCCGTTTGACGGTATACCGTCAACCGGGGCTATTCGGGACAATTTCGAACGTTTTTCATTCATAATCAGTTCCAATCAGACGCTCATACAAGTTCCTAGATGCAGAAACAATGAAGCAGTTGTTTGTTGCCGTCGTACGCCCGAGTCTAGAGTTTGGAAACTTTGTGTGGTCACCGAGATTTGAAAAGGACAGAAATTTAATAGAAAATGTTCAAAGACGTGCAACAAGGATAATTCCAGGCTTGAAGGGCAAGTCCTATGAAGAAAGATTGAAGATTATGAAGCTTCCAAGCCTCAGTTATCAACGTCTGCGTGGGGATCTCATTGAAGTATACAATATACTCATGGTCTATACAAGGTCCCTGAAGGTTTACTAGAATTTGAAACAAGAACCAACACCAGGGGCCACGGCTATAAGCTAAAAAAAACTGCGCTGCAACTTCTCCACGCGACAAAATTTCTTCTTGCTTTGAATCACCGACATGTGGAACAGCCTCCCCGATGACATCGTTGGCGCTCCAAGTATGAACGCCTTCAAGAACAGACTAAATAAAGCTATGGAAAAATATATGTTCAGATTTGAAATGCCTAGCTCCTTATCGAACCCGATGGAAGTCTAGTAGCTACTTCAAACTATCGTCAGTCATGAAAAGATCCGGTCAAATGACACGAGTTTAGATGCTGACACTTGGAATAAAACTTCATTTCAAAACATTTGAAGCATGCAGAGTGTACTCATCCATTACTAACAGTACTCTGAAGTCCTCCTCTTTCATTGTAGATGATGTAGAGGTAGAATAAATGACATTTTCTGTGATTTTTACTTGTTTTTCCTTTATTGATATGATATTACTGTATACATTAATTACCTACTGTATTATTGATGCAATATTACCGTATTATTGATGGGATATTACTGTATCCATGAACAGGCCATTGAGCATTTACAACAACCTTGTCCACTGCAAGCTTCATATCAGCAGCCTTATAGCATTTTTTTCTGTATCTGTAAGCTTACAGGACGGCTTGTAATTTCACACCATTTTAATTGAGTAAAGTGAATTTACTATAAAAAAGATCTTGAAAAACATACCTGAAACAGAAAGGAATGTTTTGGTGACAACCATCATATGTTTGGGAGAAATAAATCATAGTTTATGGCAATTACTTTTCATTCTATGATGCCTGGTGCACAATTCTATATATGACATGCTATGCACAATTTTGTGATGACCAATGATGCACTAATTTTTCGATAAGTGAAATTTTTTTTGCTGAGCAAGGTAAATGTAATCAATTGTCATTTTTAATCATTTTTTTCTTAACTGGAGCCTTTGCTAACTGAGGTTCTACTGTAAATGCGTTTTTGGGGGTGTCCCGAATATCCCCGGGGGGTTGTCCCGAGTAGCCCCGCCATGCAGAAATGGCCGCCATTTTTTTTTTTTTTTTGATTGAGGTATGTAAATTCCACAAATAAAGTATTCATGCTGGCACTTGTCTGCTAGGTACTTTTTTCTAAGCAACAATTTTTAATACGGCAAATATTTTTTTACTACAGACCTTAGCAGAAGCAACTTTTCAAAATATTGTTTTTCACCATTTTTTTCAGGAATTTTTCAAAGCTAGTAAATGTAGTATTTTTGAACTTCCTTTATAATACGTACATAGATAGGAAAAATGTTGATGTTTACGCCACTATATTTAGTTTTGCAATATTCCAATTAGTTTTGCTACTAAAACAGTTTTACGCCGTGTCAGAGGACTGTCCCGAGTTACCCTGTCCGTCCCGAGTAGCCCTGGTTGATGGTATACACATTTATATACCTATCAACAAACAGGCTTTTAGATGCCACTGAATAGCCTGAAACACGTTATTTACTTTCACACAGGGACTTTGAAAGTAACAAGAAAATGAATTGGTTTGTTTCATGAATTCCTATTGAAATGCTTCTGAACAACCTATTAAAAGACACATATATATAACTCAATGTTATAAGTAACAAGCTCCCTCAAAATAAAAAAACACTTAGGATGTTTCCCATATGACAAAACCTGATGACTCAGTTTGCACTTTTCTAAAATTAAATAGATATAACCATAGGTATGTACCGTGCAGAAATCCCTTGGAAGAAAAAAACATAATTTATTTATAAACTAAAGCATATTGTAGCTACCTCTGTTGATATTGCAACCTGCTTAATTTCCTTGTGTTAGCTCTTGTGTTGTTCAATATTACTTCTTTGTGAAGCTTGTGGAATAAATAGGGACAAGTTTATAAATTCCGACCATATTGCTACTTTGAAAAGGTACTTGAACAACTGAGCTATAAAAAAGTTCTATAGGTAGTTTGAAAGGCAGGCATCATTATCAAGAAAACAATCAACATCAGAATTCTTGAACAGGGCATCAAAATACTTAATATTGTAGATATTTTTACTTCTATTCTATTATTCAATGATCTAAATTAATATTATGAGCAACTTAGGATTAATTAATTAATTAATTAATTTTTTTCAGAGTTTTAGATACAAAAATTTTACTTTGACTGAATGAGAACCTTGGTGATCTGAGTTATTTTATATATAAGCCTAATGTTTTAAAGACAACTCACTGAGCGGTGAGCAGTTACAGCCTCCTGGCATAGACCTCAGAGCTGCTCTCGTCTTGCTGCCGGTGCTGCTGCTGCTCATGGTCCCCACGCCCTGGGGATGGCAGCCGTTGTCAGGAAGGTGAGCAGACTTGACTTACGACCTTCTTTTGGAAATTCTATTTAATTTGATGTTGACTTACGACCTTCTTTTGGAAATTCTATTTAATTTGATGTTGACTTACGACCTCCATTTGGCCATTCTATTTGATTTGATGTTGACTTACGACCTCCTTTTGGTCATTCTATTTGATTTGATGTTGACTTACGACCTCTTTTTGGCCATTCTATTTGATTTGATGTTGACTTACGACCTCCTTTTGGTCATTCTATTTGATTTGATGTTGACTTACGACCTCCATTTGGTCATTCTATTTGATTTGATGTTGACTTACGATCTCCATTTGGTCATTCTATTTGATTTGATGTTGACTTACGACCTCCTTTTGGCCGTTCTATTTGATTTGATGTTGACTTACGACCTCTTTTTGGCCATTCTATTCGATTTCATGTTGACTTACGACCTCTTTTTGGCCGTTCTATTTGATTTGATGTTGACTTACGACCTTCTTTTGGCATTCTATTTGATTTGATGTTGACTTACTACCTCCTTTTGGCCATTCTATTCAATTTGATGTCAACTTACAACCTCCTTTTGGCCATTCTATTCAATTTGATGCCAAGGGTGGTTTTTACCTTACCTAGTCTCCTAGTCAAATTATTAATTTAACCAGGAAACTTATCTGGATAAAGGTTTATTTTATTGAATCATCTCTACTATTATTAAATCAAGCCATAAACTAAATGCATGCCAATTAGAGAACACCTTTTCTAACCCTTTTCTAACCCTTTTCTTGCTGAGATTTTTTTTTTATCATTCTGGATTCAGTTTTTATTCCTCTTGTATTTTTCTTTATAATTCAATTCAAGATAAAATAACTAAAATGAATTCATACTCTGGTCAATTATATCTCAATTACATAGGTATTGTGAATACGCCAATAACTTTAGCATTTTTTTCCCTTTATTCACAGGCTATACATACCCTTGCAAAAATATTCCATGAATTCCTGCAGCATAATTTTCTATATTCCATACTAATTGATTTGTAGGATTTGGAGTTAGATTTTTGATATGTGGTATAAATAAACATTTACAAATCAAATCTGCAGAAAAGAAAAGCTTCTGTCGAATTACAGCAAATATACATGTGTATAGGTTTCATTTTCTATAGGTTTCACTTTCAATAAAGCTACTAGTAATTTGCAGAAATTTCGATTTCTCTTTACCTACGCGTGCGCTATGCGCATTCAGATGATAAGCATAAAGTGAAGGAAGGCAGCCACGCAACGCTCATATGAATTGCTTAGAATGTGAACGTCAAGCTCGCTGCGAGCGACGTTAGTGCTGTGCGTGCATCCTGCGTCGTGCCGTCATCCGTGCGGTGGTCACCCCGAGAGGATGATTGTCCTCAGTCGTGCGTAGGCACGGTGCCGTGCGGTAGTGCTGTGCGTGCGTCCTGCGCCGTGCCGTCACTTGTGCGGCGTGCACCATGCAAGGATGGTTATCCTTATATAGTAGTGCCATGCGCTCGGTAGGATTGTGCGTGCGATAGTGAAATGCGCGCGTTGTGAATGTTTGTTACTTTGCAAGTTTTATAACACGAGTGAAAATTGCAAAAGCCTTGTACAAAGTCAGGAAATTTTTAAATAACTTTTGAATTTTTAGCAGACTCACCATGTCATTTAAAACGAGGCTGAGGAGTCACAGGTTGGAATGGTGGTAACGTTAATTCATTTACGACAGTGAAATAAATAGGCGCCGTTATTTATATTGCTCGTTCCTTAATCAGTTTTTTTTATTTATCCAGTAATTCAAAGTTGCAAGTTGGTTTCACTTTTGAACGTTTTTCATGACTCAATTTTCGTTCTTAATACGAACGATGTTTATGGCTAGATATTTTTTTTTATCTGGAGTAGATCTCTAATACCTGGTTCCTATTATTAAACGTTTTTATTTTCCTTTTGGTATGCTCGGCGTTCAGGTCTATATTGATTGGCTTTCTCATGTTGCGTGGGCTGATCTTGATACGTGATAACGTAAGACGCGATCACCAGATTGCGGCTGTGCTCGAGATCCTCGCGTAACGTCAGGCTGAAGCCTTGGCTTTCCTCGCGCCTACTTCTGCTGTGTGGCGCTATATAATAAGCCTTTGACATTTTATTGACATACAATTTAATGGCCTAGTGCTCTTAAACGGACACATGTTCGTGACAAGGCTTTAAGAGACGTGTTTATCCCTGGCTAGTTAACAACTTCCCTACATTTACTAATTTCTCCACTCGTATTAGTCATAAAACTCCGCTAAACAAACTTTGTTTAACTTGATGAACAATTCAACATACACCCAAATGATAAAAATATCTTACAAGTATTGGCTTCATTGCAATTTTCAAGTTATTTAGCTCATTGGTAACATACTCTTGTCACATGAAGGCGGAAAGCTTCGGTTGAATGCTTTATAGCTCACTTAGGCGATAAGTCGAGTATCTGTGTAATTTTCTACCTTAAATATTGAAGCCGCCATTTACAACTCAATGTGACATCAACATAATATCTTGATGCTTTAGTGGCGCTTTTTTCGTAAAGTCTGATGTTCGAAAATGAAATGTTTCTGTCCATCTATTTTGTGATCATATGGAGTTTTTCGTCCAGCAGAATGGGCGTACAATGTCTGTATCGTAATTTCACGTAAGATTCACATATTTATTCGACAATCTTCAAACACACTTTATGCTTCGACGACAAAGTTAAGTTTCGTACGCACAAATGCAGCCTTGACTTTTGCTTCACTTGTTCGTCCGTCGCTGAACCTTGGGTCTTGCCTTTGTTTTTCGTAATCAGGCAATTGTGCTCGTGCTTGTGATACTCACGGTCACGTTTTTCTATTCGTTAATGATTTTTTGCGTCCGTGACAAGTTTGCGGTTGCTACAACAGTTTTGTGAAGGAATATATTATTTCATATTAACGATACGCATCTACTATGCATTGTAAGAAGCCCGCATTTTCATTTCAGGGCGCTTGCTGACGTGTTTGAACATAAATCACATTTGAAATTTATTTTTAACTCCCTCTGTGCTCAAATACAGGTATCATACTTGTTACTGTATTTCGTTCTACCAGTCCCAAACTTCTATAATAGTAGGTATCGGATTTTCATCAAAAGCACTGCATATATCGTGAACTAAATAAACGTGATGATAAATCAACCTCCTGTAACCTGAAAATCGACCTCGTTTCCCGTTTAATCTGTCCTGGGGTTCACGGCAATTAATCTTATCACTTAGGACCTTAATGTATACGAAGAAGACCTCAACATAGGACATATTAGGAGCGAGGCGTGATGCGACCTCTAGCAGGCGTAGCACGGGTTGTCTTCCTAAATGACGTATAGAGTGTAACTAATTGGCGGTAGAGGGAGCCGGCCTCATTGTGTGCTGGGTGGATCTTCCTAGTGTCGCACCTGCTCTCAAGCTGCTCGTCGTCTACCACATAACTTGCTTCTTCCCGTACCTATCCGTTGCTCATCAGTCGCTGGTGTTAATTTTGCAGACATCATCAGTGTTTTTAGTGAAAGCGAAACTGACTTCAGGACGCCATCATGTCCAAAATCATCCAGCCTATGATTCTATATTAACCTTATATTCATGCGTGATGCAGGTAACGTTATCTGCCCTGGTTCCTCCTCGATCGACAGCTTTGTAGGCGATGCGCAAGGGTCGAGCTTGATTTTCAAGCTCTGCTGCAGCCGTAATTATTTCCTTGTTTAGTTCATAAGGATAAAGAAATTACTAACGACATGCCACGGACTATCCACGCCAGGCGGTGCAGCCAATTTGCATTTGGCGTCTCGCTCACCACGTATCTCATGTTGAAGCAAAAAAGTTATAGTGATATATTAGCAGTAGATTTGGCCAAGTGGATAGTTGTGTGCAATTCTTTTTTATCTTTCTGTCTCATTGATAGAAACTGATTACTTCAATATATTAACCTCAATATTTGTCAGTCTAACTTTCTCTCTACTGCTTACTTTATTACCGTAAGCAATAGCTCATTTCTGCACTATCGTCTGCTATATACTCGCCTTATCTATTGAGTTGAAGCGTTTAGCTGCATCAGCTTACTAAGTCAACATCAATACTGATGTATTTAGAAAATTCCATTGCATTTTATATTCGTACGTCGTAAGGTTGTTCTTCCATTAATGAATTTGTTCGTTTCACATTTGTGAAGCTTATAAAGACATTTAAATTAGTTTGTCTATTTGTGGTAATTTTGTGGTACCACTGACTTTGACTCCAGTCATTAAAAATCTCGTTGTCTCGGCTCAGGTATTTTCGAGGTCACGCAGCCACAACTCCTGATGATCGTTTAGCTTTCTATTTATCCTTTGCCTGTGTAATTACAGCATATTACTCAGTCTTTTGAATAGACTCGGCATCTCACTTTTTTATTTATTTATTTATTTTGTCAGTTCTCGTACTTTTCAGAGTTCGGAAATTCATATTTTGTTTCAATTTTACGTCGAGACAATTAGAATATTTTGGTGTCCCTGATAACCTGATTTACTTTCGTCGGGCAATTAAGTTGTAACTTTTTCCCGAAGTGTAGCTTTAAATTCGTATTCGTGCTCCACGTATCTGTATCATCGACACTATTATTAACATCGAGTGCAATCCAAGTTCAATATGATTTTCTTGTGTTGTATATTTCACGCCTAACTCCGTCAAGATTTCGATGTGATCAGATTATCACTAAGTAAACAAGTGGTCACCTTACGTCACCATGCAAATCACAATAGTAGATACCGAGTTGAGTGAGCGGCGTGCGTGCTAGCGCCCGTAGCTAAGCTCCTCAATGCTCGTATGTAGTGAAGGCTCGCCGCCAACATAGGAAACTCACAGCGCAAGTTCAAAGTTCTGGAGGCTCGCTTCCAGTTCCGCTACGTCACAGTAAGTTAACATCTAGCGAGTATATGATCGAGATTTAAATGCGTTTTGCTCTGCTGATGCCAGTTGTATTTAAGTTAACATCTAGCGAGTATATGATCGAGATTTAAATGCGTTTTGCTCTGCTGATGCCAGTTGTTTTATCTGATACCTGCTTACCAGAGAGCAACGACTTCAAGCGATTGTTCTTTTATCAAGGTCTGTATACTTTTGATGTTGGGTGTGTTGAGAGTGGAATGATGTGGAATGGAATGCAAACTATCTTAAAAACATTTCAATTTATTTCGTTGGTTGGTTGTTTTCTTTATTTAATTTACCTATTTTAGTTCTCGCGTATCAACTGATTAACAAATTATAATTATCAGGACGATTTAATTTTTGCATGTGATGACATGTTTCATATTTTGTCCCCACAACCGCCAAGCCCAATTTGGCACACACGTAAATGAAGAGCAACCTGCTGGACTTCATAGTCTAAAGTCATAATCTTCCTGTTTTTTCATTCTTGTACAGAGTAGGTATTGTATAATTTAGCATCATACTTTGACAAAATTTTCAACTTTTTTTTCACTTCCAGATTTTCGGTTAAATTAAATGCTTTATTTACAGTTTCATTTTCACTTTTATAATAGCCATGATAAAAGGATCATATGATTCTCCATACGTATATATACGTATACGTACATGAATAGTCATGATAAAAGTATCGTATGATTCCCCATGCCTTTGTACATCGAATTCAAGTTGGCCAAAATGCCTGTTTGATGCTCCCGAATGTACATATAGTCAAAAATATTATAAACCAGGCTTTATTTATCACTTATTCTGAAGTAAAAATTAAACTTTTTAAGGTTATCGTTTAGACCATTCTCTTGTAACTGTTGTATTTAACCAGTATTTCTAATATTTTTGTGTAACTTCATAAGAAATTATGATGCCAGTGTATTTTATATGGGAACCCATTTGTAACTTTAGTCCATTACAGGAGTGAAACAAACGAAAAGGCGTGCTTGTGTCTCTGCTTTAGTTCATTACGGGAGCAAAACAAACGAAAAGGCGTGTTTGTGTCACTACTTTAGTTCATTACAGGAGCGAAACAAACGAAAATGCGTGTTTGTGTCACTGCTTTAGTTCATTACGGGAGCGAAACAAACGTAAAGGCGTGTTTGTGTTACTGCTTTAGTTCATTACAAACGAAAAAGCGTGCTTGTGTCACTGCTTTAGTTCATTACGGTAGAGAGCGAAACAAACGTAAAGGCGTGTTTGTGTTACTGCTTTAGTACATTACGGTAGCGAAACAAACGAAAAGGTGTGTTTGTGTCACTGCTTTAGTTCATTACAAACGAAAAGACGTGCTTGTGTCTCCGGACAAAGGAGGCTGGCGTGCTGCTGTCATTACGGCGGCTGCGCGCGACTGCGCCTGCGTCGTTAGTTGCGCCGCGTCCCTGGCGCTCGCCTGTACTTCCGGCATCCTGTCCGTCCTGCTGCTGGGGGCGTGGTGGTGAGGTCTTACCGTGGTGGTGGTGGTGGTGGTGGTGTCGTGTTAGTGATGGTGGTGGTGGTGATAGCGGTGGCGGTAATGGTGGTGTTGTGTTGTGTTAGTGATGGTGGTGGTGACAGTTGTGTTAGTGGTGGTGGTGGTGACAGTGGTGGCGGTAATGGTAGTGGTTGTGGTAGTAATGGTGGTGCTGTGTTGTGCAGTGTTAGTGATGCTGGATTTGGTGGCGGTAATGGTAGTGGTGGTGATAACAGTGGCGGTAATGGTGGTGGTGGTGATTACGGTGGCGGTAATTGTCGTGGCGTAATTTCGATTTTAGTGTAGTGGTGGCAGTGATTTTTGAGTGGTGTGGCTGTGGTGAGGTAATATTGGTGTTGGTGGTGGTGTAAATGGTTAGTTTGGTAAAGCAAAGTTTGTGTGGTGATGATTTTGATGGTGGGAAGCTCGATCTTGTTGCTTGTTAAAGTTAAGGCAAATGGTGTGCTCTTGTATGGGTGTTTGGTGTAGTGGAGATGTACTTAAATGGCGAAGGGTGGTTGTTGCAACAAGGCTATTAACAAACGCTGTTGTTCTTGTGTCAGCAATTTGTTTTTATCAGCAGTTGGTCTAGTGTCAGCAGTTGGTCTTGTGTCAGCAGTTGTTTTTGTGTCAGCAGTTGGTCTTGTGTCAGCAGTTGGTCTTGTGTCAGCAGTTGGTCTTGTGTCAGCAGTTGGTCTTGTGTCAGCAGTTGGTCTTGTGTCTGATGCTGACAAGACATCCACGAAACAATGCGCTGTTTTATGCCTGTGATTTTTTCTTTTAGGCTCTTCAGTTACTCGCAATTCTATTTCAATTAAAATGAAATGTTATCAACAATTCATGAATTATTTGCCGTCCTGGAGCGGAGACATTTTTTTTATCTAGTGCACGTTTCTTTGCAGCCATTGACCTTGTTATCGCCGTCCATGAGCGTGATCATTCCAGTGCTTGTTTCTCCCTGCTTCACAACATCACTTCTATCCAGCAACACTATGACCTTATCAGCTGCGTGTGTTGTGCATTACTTCGTACAAACTTGCACTTGTCTTCTACATGTTCTGGCAGGAGGAGTTTGCTTTAATCTTTATTTACTCCAACTTGGAACCGTTCAGTTTAACGACGATCGCTTATTTTCTGAATGACCTAATCCGCTGCGTGTGTTGTGCATTACTTCGTACAAACTTGCACTTGTCTTCTACATGTTCTGGCAGGAGGAGTTTGCTTCAATCTTTTTTGACTGTAACCTCTAACCGTTTAATTTAACGACAATCGCTTATTTTCTGTTATGAGTGTCTGTAATAAATGTATTCGTACAGAGTCGTTTCAGCGGTTCAACCTAAAAAGCCGGGAACTGTCTTTCTTACCACTGTGTGCTCAGCTAGTGAAGCTCACGCCGCAAGTGGCCACTATATAACCTTAGCTTAGACCATCGCCTCTTTCAACTCAGCTATCGTTGAAAAGTTCGAGGAATTAAAATGCAGGATCTTCAGTGTGGAGCGTTCGATAATTAATCGTTGTTGCTTATGTTAAATTACTTGAATTTGTAGAAGTAATTAAAGACACTTTTAGGACACTTCAATTTTGGGGTGCCATGAAGTGTCTTTTAAATTTGTTTTATTTCCATATTAATTTCCATGGACTCCTAAAAATTTTATCACTAGTATATAGACAGAATTTTCTGTTTAGTATATGAACAGAAAATGTTCTGAAGAAGCAATTTTTCTGAAAAGGTAATTTTTATCAATCTCTGACAATTATGTCGTTCTTCCCAACCGGGCAGTTTTAATCTTCGTGATTGTCTCACTGCTCTCACTGGCAGCGACCTCCTGTGTAATGGTAATAAGGAGGTCATTATAATAATAATGACCTCCTGTGTAAATAATAATAATAAACAACACCTCAGGGTGTTGTGTAATGCAATAACATGGTTCTGGCGTGTCAGCGAGCCCGTGATGGTCGTGGAACTACCAGTGACACCAAGTGCCCGGAAAAACTGACCTATACACCCCCCTCCCTCACTAGTCGCCACTACCAGGATTACAATTACAACAATGCGACAGACAATGCGTCCCTCCCTATCTAGGGGGCTAGGATTCTATGCATTGTGCTGGTTCTTTGTATAGATTTCAACACGCCTTTCATTCCGATGTTTCCCATTTATACAAAAGTTCTAGGTCAGTTCAAACGCATTTCTTCATGCAGCGCTATCTTAATTAATCGGCAATTCTTGTTAGATTGGTTACAAGTAGTTTCACGTTTCACTGCCTTTGACTTCTGTGTGTATTGTTTCCCTACATGCGAATTGCTTGTTTTTTCCCCGTTTTGCTCAGTTAGAAAGTTTTATAATACAGTATGAAACATAAAATTCGTACTAGTCAAAATGTCATATGAAATCATTAATGTACGATAATTTGTCATGCCAAGTTGTAAGGCACGGTCCTCATCATTTAACGTTAGAATCGACGTCATATGCCTACCTTCTAACGTTGGAACCGACGTCATATGCCTACCGCCTAACGTTAAGACCGACGTTACACGCCTACCGCCTAACATTAAGACCGACGTCATATGCCTACCTTCTAACGTTGAAACCGACGTCAGATGCTTACCGCATAGCGTTAAGACCGACGTCATATGCCTACCGCCTAACATTAAGACCGACGTTATATACATGCCTACCGCCCAACGTTAAGACCGACGTCATATGCCTACCGCCTAACATTAAGACCGACGTTACATGCCTACCGCCTAACATTAAGACCGACGTTACATGCCTACCGCCTAACATTAAGACCGACGTTACATGCCTATCCTCCCAACGTGAAGACCGACGTCATATGCTCGGATGGACGGAGGCCGTGGTCCGTTACACGGCGGTTTGGCCGTCGCCTTGCATAGCATTACTGCCGCTGCAACGCTAGCCATCGCTGTGACGTACACATCCTTAGCATGAAATATTCTGTGTAGCCTCTGTGTAGTGGTCTCCTGTTACTGTTTCATAGCGCCCGGGCTTGTCAACATGAAACAAGTTTTGGATTGGTCAACTAAACCATCTAATAGTCTAATGCACCCATCCTCTAAATCGCTCATGTAGAATGTTGGTGCTGCTGTTTCGCCAATATTGCGTAAAGAATTCGCTACTTCGCAATTGTGCTGCAAGGCTGCTGTATAAGACGCTTGGCTTTCTGTAATTTTTCGGAACAAGGGGGTTGGTTTGAACCAAAAATCGTTTTACATGGTATAGGTAAATATATCATTCTGGTTTTTAGTTAGTTTCAGGTTCAGGATAGTTAATATATGGATTCACAACACAATAATTATTTCAAAACATCGCGGAGGCACTGTATTTTTTTGATAAACTCAACTATAGCTTGGAACTGGCATCTTGCCCCCTTCTCATTTTCATCATTCTAAAATGATTAAATGTTTATTTGATTCAGACGTCTTGCGATTTCTTCTTCATTCAGTCTGCTGAGTCGGACAGTTC